TTGCAATTATTTTAAAAATAGTTCCGGCGATAAACATTTTTTAATAATTTTTAAAATTTTTTAATGTCCGATTTTAGCACGACACTCGAGCAAAGGGTGTCGTGCTGAGTATATATCGCAGTTCTAGGGAAAGTTTTGGCTAGTTCTCGTAGAGTACTATGCTCTGCAATTATTTTTAAAATAGTTCCGGCGAGTAAACATTTTTTAATAATTTTTAAAATTTTTTAATGTCCGATTTCAGCACGACACTCGAGCAAAGGGTGTCGTGCTGAGTATTATCGCAGTTCTAGGAAGGTTTTGGCTAGTTCTCGTAGAGTTCTATGCTCTGCAATTATTAATAATAGTTCCGGCGATTAAACATTTTTTAATAATTTTTAAAATTTTAAAAATTATTAAAAAATGTTTAATCGCCGGAACTACTTTTAAAAATAATTGCAGAGCATAGAACTCTACGAGAACTAGCCAAAACTCTTCCTAGAACTGCGATATATACTCAGCACGACACCTTTGCTCGAGTGTCGTGCTGAAATCGGACATTAAAAAATTTTAAAAATTTTTAAAAAATGTTTACTCGCCGGAACTATTTTAAAAATAATTGCAGAGCATAGAACTCTACGAGAACTAGCCAAAACTCCCCCTAGAACTGCGATATATACTCAGCACGACACCCTTTGCTCGAGTGTCGTGCTGAAATCGGACATTAAAAAATTTTAAAAATTATTAAAAAATGTTTAATCGCCGGAACTATTATTAATAATAATTGCAGAGCATAGAACTCTACGAGAACTAGCCAAAACTCTTCCTAGAACTGCGATATATACTCAGCACGACACCCTTTGCTCGAGTGTCGTGCTGAAATCGGACATTAAAAAATTTTAAAAATATTAAAAATGTTTACTCGCCGGAACTATTTTTAAAAATAATTGCAGAGCATAGAACTCTACGAGAACTAGCCAAAACTCCCCCTAGAACTGCGATATATACTCAGCACGACACCCTTTGCTCGAGTGTCGTGCTGAAATCGGACATTAAAAAATTTTAAAAATTATTAAAAAATGTTTACTCGCCGGAACTATTATTGAAAATAATTGCAGAGCATAGAACTCTACGAGAACTAGCCAAAACTTTCCCTAGAACTGCGATATATACTCAGCACGACACCCTTTGCTCGAGTGTCGTGCTGAAATCGGACATTAAAAAATTTTAAAAATTATTAAAAAATGTTTACTCGCCGGAACTATTATTGAAAATAATTGCAGAGCATAGAACTCTACGAAAACTAGCCAAAACTTTCCCTAGAACTGCGATATATACTCAGCACGACACCCTTTGCTCGAGTGTCGTGCTGAAATCGGACATTAAAAAATTTTAAAAATTATTAAAAAATGTTTAATCGCCGGAACTATTTTTAAAAATAATTGCAAAGCATAGAACTCTACGAGAATTGGCCAAAAAACCCCCTAGAACTGCGATATATACTTAGCACGACACCCTTTGTTCGAGTGTCGTGCTATAATTATCTTATTAATTATTTAAGTTAATTACTGTTAATCGACAGAACTATTATCAAAAATTATTTTGGAGGTCAGAACTATCCTAGAACTCGTAAAATGCGCCCAGAGAAATAGATATTTCTACCAGCACGACACTCTTCCGCGATGTCGTGCTATAATAGCTTATTAATTAATTAAGTTAATTATGGTTAATCGACAGAACTATTGTCGAACATTATTTTGGAGGTCAGAACTATCCTAGAGCTCGCAAATTGCGCCGTGAGAAATGAATATTTCTATTAGCAAACAAAATAAAATTTTTACAAATATCGTTTAAATTTTGTTTTTTTAACTCGTAGAATGCATAGTTCGCCGGAACTATTGTTAAAATCTATCAGGAACTCTAGATCTCGTCGAAATCTATCGAAATACATGAATAAAAAATTTTTTTTGCATAAGTGTCGTGCTACGGGAAGTTAGCACGACATTTTAAAAAAATTCGTTTTTTGACCTTAAATTGACAGAACTATTTGCGAAACCTATCAGGAAATCTAGAACTCTTAAAAGTGCTACTAGAACTCATATGTTTTTTTTGAAAATCGAAAAAAGCCGTGCCAACTTCACAGAGTCCGATTTAAAGTGAAACGAATTTCAGTTAACACATCTATAAACGATTCTTAATAAGACTGCTGATTTGGATTTTCGTTATTTTCAATTTGTAAAAATTTAATTTTGTAATTTTTTTGTTTAACTGCGATATTTTATAAAGTGTGCGATTTAAAGCGAAACGAATTTCAGTTAACACATCTATATACGATTCTTATTTAGATGCTGATTTAGAATTGCGTTATTTTCAATTTGAAAAAAATTTTATTTTGACAGTTTTGTTTAAACTGCTGTATTGTTAAGTGTGCGACTTAAAGCGAAACGAAATTCAGTTCACATAGTTTTATAAACGATTCTTAATAAGACTGCTGATTTGGATTTTCGTTATTTTCATTTGAAAAATTTATTTTTGTCAGTTTTTTGTTTAAACTGCTGCTGTATTTTTATAAAGTGTGCGATTTGAAGCGAAACGAATTTCAGTTCACACATCTATAAACGATTCTTAATAAGACTGTTGATTTGGATTGCGTTATTTTCATTTTTGGGAAAACTTGAATTTTTGATTTTTTCGACTGACGACGCGAGCGATCGACGTACTATCATTTTCGGTATTAAAAAAATTAATTCCTTATAGTTTAGCTGTCAGATTTACATTAATATATATTAAAAACACATTTTCAAGTGCGTTCAAAGTCTTTAAGCGAAGATAGATCGATTTCGATGTTGAAGCGAAAAATTTAAGAAGTTAGAAGCTTTAAGATATGTCAAATATACATGCTCAGTCGTATTTAGAATCTATCTTTATTGTTTAGAACATTCTCAATCGAAAAGTTAATTTATGGAGAAAGCAGAATTCGAACAACTTGAAATTTGAAGAGAATCAACTTTGACAGTTTTGTTTAAACTACTGTATTTTTTAAAGCGTACAACTACAAGCGAAACGAATATTATTTTTCACAATTAGAAACGATATTAAATAATACTGCGTTTTCGGATTTGCTTTATTTTTAAGTCGGGTCACAATTTTAAATTTCGATATTTACATTGAGGAGGCTTTGGATTGAAATGCTGTCGTTTTTGTGTTAAAAAATTAATTTCTCAAATTCAGGAACACATTTACATAAAAATATTAAAGACACGAAATTTCTAAGTGTAATTAAAAATCATTAAGTTAAGATAGATCAATGTAGATTACGAAACGAAATATTTAAAATGTGTCAAATTTTAAGATATTTAAGATTCACATGCTTAGTATTGTTTAGAATCGATTTTAATTGTTTAGAACATTTTCAATCGAAAAAATATTTATTGAAAAAGCAGAATTCGAAAATCTTGAAATTTGAAGAGAATCAATTTTATACATAACAAAAATATGGTGAATTAAAATTATGTCGAGACATAATAATAATTCAAGGAGTACACAGACAAGAAAGTAGAGAGATTTTTGAGGGTCTACTTGGTTTTAAAGTCACGTATGAGGAGTTTGCTAACACCTAATATTAAACGTTTTAGTTGTTCACAATCAAATAACGATAGTTTGCAATCTGAATCTGATGCTTGTTCTCGAGTAAAATGCTTGCAGAACTTTATAATTTATATGATGATTAGATACCCAATTTTATGTATTATATTAGTCGATTGCTTTATTTTAGGATTATTTTTTATAGATTAAATATTTTTCTTGTTTAATATTTTTATAATAATGGCATAAATGTGCAGAACGAATATGTTATTCTATTTTTTTTGTCAATTTTTTGTTTATAAAGCTGTGTAAAGGAGAATTCTAATTGTAAATAAAAAAACTAATTTATAATAGAGCACTTGTAGAAAATAGAAAATGATTAATTATAATATATTAATTATTGCGTATATGAGTTAAACATTTGATCTTTATAATTCATTATTAGACATATTAAGCTTTATATTTTAATCATTATCAATTCTTTCTATTTACTAAAATTTCTCTATTTCAAAATAGTTTTTTTTTCATTAAAAGTTAGAATTTTTTTTACACAGCTTTATAAACAAAAAATAAACAAAAAAAAACAGAATATATGTATAATTAATAATATATTATTTATTGCTTATATAGGCAATAAATAATATATATAATAATATATACTTATAATACTTATTTTTTGCCCCGTTGTGGGCTATTGCGACAGGGAAGCGTTATTTTTATTTTAATTTGCCGAAATTTTATTATGTACATAATTTTATTTTGCCAAATTTCCGTAATGTACATAATTTAATTTACCGAATTTCTATTATGTACAAAATTTAAATTTTCTTATTTGTATTATGTACAAAATTTTTATTCGTGAATTTCTATTATGTTCAGAATTTTAATTTGTCGAATTTCTGTTATGTACATAATTTTTATTACGTACATAATTTTAATTTCCATTTTCTATTATGTACATAATTTTAATTCATTGAATTTCTAATTTCTATTAAATACATAATTTTAATTCATCGTATTTCTTTTATCTAAATAATTTTAATTTGCCCAATTTCTATTATGTATATTGTATATAATTGTAATTTGTCGTATTTCTTTTATGTAAATAATTTTAATTCGCTGAATTTCTACATGTACATAATTTTATTCTTGAATTTTCATTGTGTACCTAATTTCTTGAATTTCCATTATCTTTTAAATTTTTATTCGCCGAATTTTACTATGTACAGTACATAAGTATTCTTGAATTTTTATTATGCGTTATAATTTAATAATTTGTTTAGCGCGCGCTTGTGTTATCTAGTATAATAAATATTGGTGTATATAGCTGCTGCTGCTCTCTCTTTCTCTCTCTCTCTCTCTCTCTCTCTCTTCCCCCCTCTCTCTGTCTTTCTTCTTCCCCTCCCCTCTCTATCTCTTTCATTCTCGCATCAGCCACCGCAAAAAGGAGGGCGTCAGTGAGATAGCGCAAGCACGAAATAAATTACGAAATATTTTTGTTTGTGAAAAACGTTAATTAATAATAGGTAGGAACAAAATAAATGTGTAGACAATAAATTTGACAATTTAAGTATTCGAATACTGGCTTAATATATTCATCATCGAATCGAGATGGTGCGAAGTAGCGACAAGTAAGTGAAATATATCGCATCCTGTATTTTGCGGTTATGTCACTGATACCCCGTTTACGTACCGAATTCATCAATCGATCTAATTATTGTGAATTAATGTAGGGATAGACATCATCGACGAAGATCCAGGTCGAGGTCGAGGTCTAGATCGGCTGAGCCTGAGAAAAAACGACGACGATCCAGAAGCAGGGACCGGGAGAGAGACAGGGACAAGGGACGTCACCGAGAGCGGAGGAGTCGTTCGCGAGACAGAGATAGAGAGAGGAGTGACAGAAGGGAACGTTCCGAAAGGGATAGGGATCGCGAGAGAAAACGGTACACCTTTAAAAAGAGTTTCGGTATCTTAAAACCAGAAAAGAAACGATTGCCCATAGCACTTATTTTTCTGTTTAGTCACAAATATATCGAAGATGCTTTTTGTAAAAATAGTAACAATGAAATAATTTGTTGACATTGATTGTTCTCGGTATACTAGTGGAGACAGTAAAGAAAAGCGTCTTACAGGCTCAAAGTCTTCGCGCTCTGGCAAAGAGCGATCAAACAGGTCTCGGTCACGTGATAGAAAGGATAAAGAGAAGGGTGACAGCGAGGAATTGCCTTTTGACCATACAAAAATTAGATAAGGTAAGTCTTGAGAAATAATATGATGAAAGATAAGCAGCTTATGTTGCAATTAATATTGTAGGAAGAGGAACAAAAAAGACTAGAGTTGGAAATGCAAAAGAGAAGGGAAAGGATAGAGAGATGGCGTGCAGAAAGGAAAAAGAAAGAGCTGGAAGCAACCAAAAAAGACGGTAAGACATCTATTTTGGCAAATCTTCAGCTACCCATGAAAAAAATGGTCTCTTGAGGATGATAGTGATGAAGAGACTCCTGTGGTACAGAATAACACCAAGGAGGCAAAAGAAGAAGGTGTAAAGGAAGAAGTTGAAGAAGTGAAGGAAGAAATAAAAGATGAAGAGGAGGAGATTGATCCACTTGATGCTTTCATGGCAGAGGCAAGTATTATCGCATCTCATATTGCAGTTATAATTCTGTATATATACTTTTATATTATTTATATACTTATATCTTATTAACTCGATAGGTTCAAGAAGAAGTGAGAAAAGTAAATAAATTTGATAGTAAAGCTCCAAAAAATGCCAACAATGGCACGAATTCTGGTGCTCAAAGTGTAGTTATTGTAACGGGTGTGGCTAAAAAAAAAAGTTCAGAAGCAAAAGGGAGAATTGATTGAGCAAAATCAAGATGGATTAGAATATTCCAGTGAAGAAGAAGGCGAGAATCTTCATGAGACTGCAGCTGGTATAGCAAACAAGCAGAAGCGAGAATTAGCTAAAGTTGATCATGCTACAACAGATTATCAGCCATTTCGAAAATCTTTTTACGTCGAAGTTCCTGAAATTGGTATGACTTTTTATACGTTTCTATATGCTAGATTATAATTTTTTTATTATTTAGCTAAATATCTAATAATACTATATATTTGCAGCAAGAATGACACTAGAAGAAGTAGAGGCGTACAAAGAAGAATTAGAAGGTATTCGTGTAAAAGGTAAAGGTTGTCCAAAACCTATCAAGTCTTGGGCGCAATGTGGCGTGACTAAGAAAGAATTAGAAGTGTTGAAAAAACTTGGTTACGAAAAACCAACACCCATTCAATGCCAAGCAATTCCAGCAATTATGTCTGGTCGCGATCTTATAGGTATAGCAAAAACTGGCAGTGGAAAAACGCTAGCCTTTTATTACCAATGTTTCGTCATATACTCGATCAACCACCATTGGCTGATGGAGACGGACCGATTGCATTGATTATGACACCAACTAGGGAATTATGCATGCAAATCGGTAGAGATTCGAAAAAATTTACCAAATCCTTGGGTCTTTCACATGTGTGCGTTTATGGCGGTACTGGCATTTCCGAGCAAATAGCGGAACTTAAAAGAGGAGCCGAGATTATTGTATGCACCCCAGGAAGAATGATTGACATGCTCGCTGCTAATAACGGGCGTGTGACCAATTTACGTCGCGTGACATATGTAGTGCTCGACGAAGCCGATAGAATGTTCGATATGGGTTTCGAACCACAAGTGATGCGGATTATGGAAAATGTGAGACCGGACAGAGAAACTGTGTTATTTAGCGCGACATTCCCGCGACAGATGGAGGCGTTGGCCAGGAGAATTCTTACGAGACCTGTTGAGGTGCAGGTTGGTGGACGTTCCGTCGTTTGTAAAGACGTCGAGCAGCACGTGGTTGTACTCGAGGAAGACCAAAAGTTTTATAAATTACTTGAGATTCTTGGACATTATCAAGATAAAGGTTCCACTATTATATTCGTGGACAAACAAGAAAATGCAGACACATTGCTGAAAGATCTTATGAAAGCTTCATATTCCTGTATGTCTCTTCATGGCGGTATAGATCAATGCGACAGAGATTCGACTATATTGGACTTCAAAGCTGGACGGACAAAATTGCTCGTGGCCACTTCCGTCGCCGCTCGAGGCTTGGATGTCAAGCATTTGGTATTAGTCGTTAATTATGATTGCCCTAATCACTATGAAGATTACGTGCATAGATGTGGTAGAACTGGTCGAGCTGGAAATAAAGGGTAAGATAAAAATCTTTGAAATTTTAACAATACGAAGTATTTCATAAATTAATCGTGTTACATTTTCCTTTAGGTACGCGTATACTTTTATTACATCTGAGCAGGAACGTTATGCCGGTGATATTCTACGAGCGCATGAATTAGCAGGTGTACCAGTTCCAGAACCCTTGCGTCAGTTATGGGAGGGTTACAAGGCTCGTCAAGCCGCGGATGGAAAGAAGGTCCACACCGGAGGTGGTTTCAGTGGCAAAGGATTTAAATTCGATGAATCAGAAGCTGCTTTAGCAAACGAGAAAAAGAAATTCCAAAAAGCAGCCCTGGGACTACAAGATTCCGACGATGAGGACATAGAAAATGATATCGATCAACAGATCGAGAGTATGCTGGCACCTAAACGAACAGTTCGCGAAATAGCCAGACCAACCGCAACTAACATCACGGTACCCGGTCAACCGGTGCCTAGCGCCACCGATAAACTAGAATTAGCTAGGAGATTGGCATCGAAGATAAATATTGCTAAGAATCTGGGCGCTGAAGCGAAGGGTGCCACTCAACAAGCGGCGGAAGCCATACTCAAAGGGGCAGGACCTACGAATCTTATTACAGTAAGATCCAAGTTATTGTTAACGGTATATTACGATTGTAAATAAATAATACTTATTTTATTTTTCTCTGCACAGGCAAAGACAGTCGCTGAACAGCTAGCAGCAAAACTGAACACTAAATTAAATTATCAACCGCGTGAAGAGGATCTGGTGGAAAGTGATGCGGAAACGGGTGAGCAAACGTTCCGCAAATATGAAGAGGAGCTCGAAATCAATGATTTCCCACAGCAAGCGAGATGGCGAGTCACGAGCAAGGAGGCTCTAGCTCAGATTTCGGAATATTCCGAAGCGGGTCTTACAGTGAGAGGGACGTATATCGCGCCTGGAAAAACTCCACCGGAAGGCGAAAGGAAGCTATACCTGGCGATCGAATCTACGAGCGAGTTAGCAGTCAGCAAAGCCAAGGCGGAAGTGTCTCGGCTTATCAAAGAAGAACTCATCAAGCTGCAGGCATCTGGTGCTCACACTGCATCACGTGGTCGATACAAAGTCTTATAAAATTTCGAACTCTGGTGAAATATATATACATATATAAATATAATATTAATTAATATTATGTTACATGAATATTATATATGTGTGGATATATGGTTTTATATATATATATATATATATATATATATATATATATATATATGTAATGGTTTATATATACTATATATATAATATAATATATAACAATATTATATGTATATATATATATATAATTATCTATATATAATTATTACATCTACATATATGATAAAAGTTATAGAAATTTATTATTCATATAAATTGCGATATAAACTATTGTTTTTATCGATATTTAACAATACAAATACATACAAATACTTCATACTTGTTTTTAATCATACAAATATGAAATATTTGTTTTTAATACAATAACAAAATATACTTAACAATTATGGGAGCATTATCAATATCATTGGCACGAACCACTGCAGGCGATCCTGATTTTCGCAAATTTATAAATAAAATGCGAATATATATTTATTTCCTTGACGAATTCTATTCAAGTAATCTATATATTCGCGGTATAAGATACAAATTTGAAACACTCAGCAACGTAAAACCATACTTACTTATGCAGCGTGTGCTAAAGAACCATAGAATACTTTCATTTTTGATAAAATTGCATGTTAATTTTTCCATTAGACAAAAATATAATAAAATTTTCAAAAAATGTCGCAATGAATCTTTGGAAGGACACGCTGTATAAAATCACATATGCGAATTCGATATACTGATATGTCAATTAATACACAGTAATGTATATATAATTTAAATTTATATGGAGTCATTTTTTTATTTACATTTGCTTATAATGAATGTCCTCGATACGCCCAAGAAATTTTACTTCTTTGTACATCTTCTTGATATCTCTTTTTTTCTTTGGTAATATTAATCAGTAACTAAAAATACATCCTGTTAAATGCTACTAGAAGGCACTAGAAGAATCACAGACACGAGACACGCTGTAGACATTCGCCACGGCGAATGACATCGCGATTAGGTAAAAAGACTTTCAGCAGCCAGAACAAACGAAAAAATAAGCTTTATCGCTTATAACTTGAACACAATAATACCTCGAATAAGCGATAAATCTTATTTTCTCTTTATGACATAATCGCATTTAAGATGTAACTTTTAACATGAAGGTAGACAGGACAATCGTTGTGAGCCAAACTCGAATTTTCATGGCACTAGAAACATAACTGTGAGCTATCTCGGCTCTGGTCAATGAACCCAGAGGAACTTCCGCTGCGATTCTTGGACTTCTCTCCGTGATTCTGGTGACGAGTTTTTCCGTTTCCGTCACGCAAGCTCGCAATTGTAACGCCGACGGTTTTTTACTAACGGGCTGTACAATAATGAAGACATCACAATCGGGCGTCATCATACCCCGGATTGCACATTGCGCCACTTGCAACTGACGACCTAAAGCGACCAGGAGAGCTTCCAAAGTAACAGAATCCTTGTCAGCTTCCTCATCCATTATGTAATAGATTCTTTCCAACTATAAGTTAAGTAAACAAAGAAAACGAAATTAGCTCAATTAGACAAAAATTTACAAACTAAATATTATTATAATTTACATAATATATCATAAATATATCTCTCTGTAAGCAACAAAAGTATCTAAAAAAATTCTAGAATATCTACGAAGAAAGAAAGAAGACGACGAAGGAAGACGTTTTATTTGAATGGAAGCACCTACCTGTTTCTTCGAGTAAAACAATCTTGCTGCTCCTCCGCAAACGGGACAACAGGCACCAGGAGGAGTGACCCCGATGCAGTATGGTTCTACCAAGGAAGGACATTGTATAGCATCACCGCAACGAGGTTTTGCTTGATCTCCTATGAGACCGACGGCAACGCAGGGACCTTCGTAATCTACGAGAATTCTCTCGGCCCAAGCCGCACATTCATTGACGTAAACCTCGCCGTTGATGCCGCACACCGGACCTCTTAGACTACAACCCTTCAAACAAGGTCCTCTGTAGCTCAAAGTGGCTCCAGCTCGAATCATGGCACAGACAGAAGGATACTGTCGATTCTCGCGATCACAGACCGGTCCGCTGGACTCGTCACGCGGATTACAATCTATCGGCATGCATTCGTATTGCCTACATATTTTGTGCAAGCGCGACAAGCAGACTTTAGGTTTGCGAATGCATTTCTCCGTGCTTTTGCAAGGATTAGGCGTGCAAGGATCCCTACTGGAACAGCTGCCAAACTCCACCTCGGTAGCTGATAGTTCGGCACACTTCGCCAGACAGGCGGATGCGAAGGTAAAGCCCAATCTACCGCAAACTGGGACATAATGAGCCGGACAGTCGCAGGGCAAGGATGGCGCACGCAATTCGCCGCAGCTCTTCTTGGAACACGTAAACTCGCCCTCGAAGCAGTGACAAGGATTACACTCGAGATAAAAATTAGTCTTGTGCTGAATAAACCGATCGTGCACCCAGCAGGACTTGAAATTAAAGCAGTTAGGCGTGCGACACTTCTCCAGACCGCGCGCCGTACATTGGCAGATATTCAAGCAGCCCTGCTGATCAGTTCGAGGAATTTGGATCCAGGATCCGACTGGCACTAATTGCTTCGACATTTCGCCAAGGGAGCAAGCCGGCACGCAGATTGTGGAGCCATCCGTTAGAAGAACGCAGAGTTGACCCTGTGGGCAATGATTCCGCTTGCACGGCGTCGTAATGTCCTCCTCAGGATGAATCACCGTTTCATCGTCCTGCGGATCGTCCAGATATGGTTTCAACGAAACGCACGGCGCGTCCGGTCTACCCGCGATAGTTTAGCACACAAGGTAGCAGCCGTGTGTGGTCCCGTGATTGCAGCCCAATCTACACAGCTCGCCATTAACTCCAAGCAATCCTCGCGGCAGAGTCGCGTTTCGTGGATTCTAGTCTCACAAGGTCGCAACTGCAGAAGACAAGCCGCCGTGCGTAAAGTCTCCGCTGGACAAGAAGCCGCCACGCGCACAGGTACGCCTAATCCACGAATAATACCGCCTCTGGACCAATGGTCAGCTTCCCATTTGGCAGCCTCGTCAGCTGCACTTGTGCATGTTCTAACGAGAAATATTAATATTCAATTATTATTGAAAGTATTTCCCAAGAGATTTTAAATTTCACATCTATGATGAAACTAATTTTTATTTTAATTCCGAATGATTAAATCTAATTGTAAGTTTAATATAAATTATTGTGACGCGAAATATTTGACCATAACTATTTAACGAGAATGTTATTGATCAAGCCTTAATCGCGTCATCTATACCTGAAGAGAGTAGTAGGTCTATCATTGAATCGCGCGCAGTAAGACAATCCGGAACAACCCATCTCGCAAGAATCGTCCGCATCCTCGAGGCATCTCCTCAAGTCACCCTCTAAACTGGACGAGAGGCACAACGCATCCAACTGAACCCAGGCGGATTCCCAATCAGCCTGAAAGGCCCGCCAGCATAAATTTTGGCAGGTAAGTCTTGTCGCTTTCGTGCAACACGCCATCTTGCCGGCATCTAACGGTAAACGCGCCGGCTTCGTCGAGCCCGATTTCAATAAGCAACTCCACATCGGCGACTGAGGTAACACCGGGCTACACTTTTCTGCCAAAGCGTCCATGATTTCCTGGTCGGTATTCGCGCTGTGAAGAATTTTGCGACACGTGTCCAGGCACGTCGGTGTTGTAGCTTCGTCACAGCAGTGCAAATCTGCGCAAATAGAATTTATTAAATTTGATACTAAACGCGTCGCAGCATCAATTATTTGCCAACTTTTTAAAATATTAATAAACTAACGTTGCTGCGGATCTTCGGCATGCTTCACCTCGGCCACGCTCTTCAGGCATTTGGGTATCTGATGAAAGCAACCCTTGCTGCTATACAGTTTCAAGTTAGACTGCTTGCCAGGCTTGTAAAAGATATCCTTGCAGATGGTTCTGCAAGTGTCATTGGAAACGTTGCTGCAGCATTGTTCGGCCTCCTCGCGCTTTTCCAGGCAGAAGAAAAATTCGGGCTCGTCGCTCGGTCGACAGTGTTCATTCAGATCATTTGTAGAACCTGATCTGGCGCAGGTTGAGCGACACCTGGGATTCTGAATAAGGCGGCAGCATCCTCGACCTATCCAATTCTCATTTCTCTTGAGATCTATAAAAATTTAGATGAATCTTAGAATATGCGACAGCAGCACTGTTGCACATTCAGATGCAACGAACCAATAGACAAGCTTACCATTCAACGTCGAGTTCACGCAGGACCAGAAGTCCATCTGAAAAAAAGGATTCAAACGTGAGAGAAGATAGTCGCAAAAAAATGCTGAAGGAAGCGAAGTAACATAATCGACCGATCGACCGCAAGTCTCTCGAGATCATTTTTCATAAAGCCATCACTGCGAATGAAAAACGCGGATCGCGTTACAGACATCCTGGATCGTTTAAGTTGCCCATTGTCATGAAACTTCCGATCCAGATTTGAGTTGAATGGACGAAATAAACGAATGTCGATCGTACACAGGATTGAACCTTAAAAACATAATTGACGAAACTCACCAGCTCCATGGAACAAAACTCCAACAGACGTTGAGTAGCGTTTTCCCTCGCCTCGATTTCGGCACCCAGGACCACCAAAGACATCTAAAAGTACCAGATAAAATTACCACATACAAAAATGAAAAATATAAAGATTTTAATAATAAATTATAAAGAAAAATCATAACATGAATAAACATTTTTCAGACATCTTTTCAAAGATCTAAAATTCTCTCTGAAAGAAAGATATAAATGACAATAAAGTCAAACAAAAGGAGCTCATAAATAATTAATAAATTATTTTAACGAATAACATTTCGAGGCGTCAACACTTTTAATGTCTGTCTAGAATTGAGTGGCTTCCGAAATTCGAAATGCGGAATGGTGCATTAACGGTCATTAAAAATCAAGGACATGAATGCAACGCGCGGGCCCCGCGATTTCCTGCTGCCTGTTACTGAATGACAATCGTCTCCAGAGCCAGATATCGTGTGTAATCCTCATTCCGGATTCAATCGGTGCCTTCCGCGAGGACATGCCGGATCCACTCGGTATGATCATCACGGCTAAGAGTTACGACCATCCATCAACATGCGGTGGGTCCTGACAGGGCCTGATGATACGCCCATAGTCAAAGGTCACGTTTACGAATTGTAAGTTATCGATAATTCATTCGTATTTTTCAATTTTTTTATATTAATTTACAGTTTTATATATTTGATAATTCACAATCGCGTTATATTTTTGTCAAAACGACAATACATATGTTATTATAAAGTTACATTTAATTACTTGCTTGAATGGGGAATAAGAAATCTTTTTAATTATATGTATATTATTATATATTAATTATATATTATATATTTTTAATTATATTTTTTACTTTGTATTATATATTTTTTATTTTATTGTTAGATATGACAAATTTTATTACTTCTTCTCTATAGAGTCGCGAAATTTATTTTATATATGTAATAATTTAGTAAATCAGTCAAAGTATTTCCAGAATATTTCTGCTAAGTTAAACTGTTATAAATGTTAGAGGCGAAAGTGATGTGTGGAGCTGAGAAAACCGCGCACGTATTTTCGTCATGGTATATTCTGGGAAGTATGCGCAGCCGGGCTGCATCGCCATGTTGAAAGAGGGTGCATTATCCATTCGTGAATTTTTTGCAACAGCAACATAGAAAGGGGGTTTTTTCATGGCAGATTTCTATTTTCTGCGAAAAACTTATAAATGTTTAGTAAAGTCCACGATTCACGAAAAATCTTTCGAATGAAAAATAGAATGGCAATCGGAAAAAAAATGTTTTTTATTTTTATATCGCTGAACTTGACGCACGAAATATTATTGTTGGCAAAAAATAAATGCTACTTCAAAGCTCATATATTCCGGACCAGATAAATCAATCTCGACAGTCTCCGAGTTACAACCGAGATCAAAAGATACCGAAATAGAGCCGCAAGCTTTCATAATTTACCCCGCGCTTTTATTTGCCGAACTCACAAACGGTACTATAAACGACCGCGATGAGGTGTCGGTCGACTAATTAAAACTAGTTAGTTATAATCCTCCTCGACGATACAATGAACCATTATATGTGTTGACATTCATAAATTTTTTTTTATAAGAACCATGAATAATTGTTCACATGTTTCTTATCTTTTATTAGACTCTTTAATAGAATATAATAAAATTACTGCGTTCACAAAATACGAAATAAAAAATATATAATGCAATTAAAAAGAAAAGAGTCGAAAATTTATATTATGATATGAAAAAGCAAGAAAGATGTTACTATATTTTGAACAGGAAGAGACGTCACGTGACGAAGACATCTTTTTTGTCCATCTCAAGAATAAGTTGTCACCTAACTCGGACCTTCCATCACGATTTCCGGTTATTCTGTTGCTAGATGGCCGGAGGAAGAAAGTGCTCATCAGTAGTCAAGCAAGACGATCCGGAGAGACGACTTTCTCAAAGTTTTTCTGCACCTCGCGTTGTCGTGTCTCACATCTCAAATAAGCAACGGTGTTATGATCGCGTAAAACTAACATCAAAGTCATACATGTATGTATTATATATTACCTATATTATACCTATATATATAGAATCTATAAATTTTTATACAGTATTCTATTGAATCTCGTTAGAATTTCCCAGTGAATGATTTCTTATCTCGAATTTGCAAAAGTCTAACATATATTAATATATATAAATATATCAATATTTTTACATGTATATTATTTTGCCATTTTTGCATTTATATTATAAATATATGAATATTTTTACAGTACAACTTTCCCGCGAGTCTTGGCAATAAAATATGGACAACATATTCTCATACGTTATTTCGCAATCAGAAAATAACAAAAGAGCACCCAATACACATCCTTCCTCCTCGAATAAACTGCACAGAGACACGATATCATTGATAACACGCGGTCCATGTTCAACGCGTCAATTCGTAATATTTGCGTATGAATGAACCCGCGGGGCGCCCCGAAGGGGTCGGCGTAAATCTCGCAGCGGGCCCCCGATGTCTCCGATATTATCTTCGAAGACGAGGCTCACCTCTCTAAAGAAGCTGCAGGGAGACGCACCCCACATCGAGAAACCCCTCATCGAAGGAAGCGACCTGAGGTATACCCTACTCTTTCTCGCCTTTTTTCATCTCTCCATTTCCTCTCTTTCTCCCTCTTCTTGTCATATTCCTGTTTTTATTTCCCAGATCCTAATATATCCACGGACACGACATATTTCGTGTCCTTTATCGTCCCGGGGTCGGCCCACGGATATTTATCAACCGCGCGATATCGCATTCATTCTGGCGAATGATTATGCCGTCGAGATTGTCTTTTTGAAATTCCCACGAGGCTTCCTCCTCTTGTGCATAATTAATAGATTGTATCCCGCGGCAAGAGTCGAAACGCGCGGCCACGACTAATTTCTTATCGCGATAAGAAAGTCGTATCCTTATATCTCGCTAGCGACATTAGTTTCGTACATTAACTTTAAATTTATAAGTAATCTCCGATTTCGTGAATCATTAATCGTTACCACCACTACCGACATTCTATTTTTGATATACGAATTACAGCACGACAAAAATGTGCTATTTAAAATTAGATAAAAAAATTAATGATTTATAATAATTGAGAATGACATAGCATAAAAATTTTGTATGTATTTTTATATAATTTTATATATATTTTTATATTACAATTTTAATTAAGAGATTTAAGAATAGCCCGTTGAAGCAATCCTTTGTAATTGCATTTATTATTTCAGAGGGTCTTCTCAAGATTAAAGAAAAAACTCAAGAGTGCAGTATGTTGTGCTTATTTAAAATGCATACCTTAGAGCACACATTCCGACAAGATCCAGCAGCAAGCGAACAGCATGGTATTTCTACAACAGAAACAGAAGATGGATATTAGTTTTGTATGTCGAAACAGAACATATGGAAACTATAGTCCAGTGTTAAACGGACACATTGCCCAAGATTTTCTCTCTTCGGCTGTCGTCCGACACAAAACAGACGCATGTCCTGCGTTACGTCAGAATAAGAGGGATAGAGAAGAAGAAAAAGAATCTTTTTTCAAGGGTCTACATACTGGGGGTATGTATACATATATGTCAAAACTCTGCCTATCTCTCGAAGACCCCACATGTATTGAAATTCAATAAGATTTTTGAAAAAAAATTTTTTTTTTTATTTATTTTATTTCGAATAGTTTTATATTTATCTCTATATGATAATATACGATTGTTTAAATAATAAAACATATATTTATGCGCAATATTTGACGAAAAATAAAATAGAACAAGAAAGAAGTCGAAAACTTGCCGTGAACGTTTCGTGCAGCAAGTATTTTTACTGGTGGTCTCTTAAATATTAAAGTTTTCGTTTCATCTAGTTGCGACTGCAGTGGCGTGCAGTCGAGAAACATTCCGTGTGTCCCCTTTCTTCCCAGCGTCTTCAATTATTAAACGGCAGAGGGGAATTGTTCGGCGCGTCACTCGAATCGAACAATAAGATATCCTGTCCTTTATTCGAGTCTTCTTTCATAATAAATTTTGTGGATCGTTATTTTTCTTTTTTTCTTTTAAAGAGACCTCGGAAGGATTAATTTTCCAACTTCGCTTAGTTATCGCTAATGATATACGATAGGTTGTTTCCCTTACAATGCTTTGATTGTGACGTAATTATGTACACAACAACGCACCCGCGTGATTATTTCCATATTTTTGACATGAACGGTTGTCAACGACGTGTCGCGTTTGACGTGAAAGATCTTTAATGACTTTACGGGGTTAACATGCGGGTTCGATCAAAGTGACTCGTGTGAAAGGGGCCTTTTGAATGGTGACTGAAATCGTAAGGGCCGCCAACCGCGCCGACACGTATGCACTGCGTTACAATGAAGCTAATAGATACCAATTAAAAGTAAATTGTGGCCCTCTCTCGCTTCGTTTCGAAGAATCGTTCGATTCCGGTTACGTGCGTAAGTGTAGAGTGCATTTTTTAGGGTTGACGTAATCGAGTACATATCGCGTATAAATTTTTTTATCAAATGTCTAAAGTGTTCTTTCAAGTGTTCTTTTCAATTACCGAAGCTTGAAATATTGTTTGCATTTCAACACTTACAAAGAGCTACAATTACAGCCTTATTGTCGAGACTGAAGAATATCAGACGCGCCACACAAAGATCGTTTGCATTCTTGAGCAAACAGGAGGGCGTGCTCGGCTCGAAAAACATTCTCCTATTACAGAATAAATTACGAATGTTTGCCTAGATATCGGTTTCGATCACCAACACCTGGCACTTGTCACCGAAGAATTATTCCGTTGCGTCTACCTATCCCAAAATAATTTTTTTCAATTTATTGCGGAATAATTTGTACGAAAATTGAATTAGATTTTTCATTTTACAAACAAAGTGTGTTACTATCGTAGAATGACTATTATAGATCTTTGCAATCTATTTTTCGTTTATCGCCTTAAACCACACGAGAGCTTTTTCGCTCATTACGCATGCGAGTGCATTCGTAACCGCCTCGTCATCGTAAAAATTCACGCGGGTCGTTTAAGACGCTTTAATCGAATCGTCGCCGCAAAGAACCTTGACGATCCGCGTGAAATTTGCGGCGACAAGTGCGTCGCGCCTTAAAACGCGGCGTTTTGTGGTTCCTGTTGCGGACGATACAAAAATAACCGGAGTCGTTCGCGACCATCCGGCGTTTACACCGATCTAAACTGCACGCGGTGCCCCCTTCACTTTATCCCATCCGTTTACGCGCTACCCGAGAAGTCGAAGAAATCGTGACTCTGACGAGAAACATCGACGAATGCAGTTCAAATTACCAGCAACTTATAAACAGAATATGTATGTTATTTTTTCAGAGAATCGTGTGCGCTCTACATTCAAATCTATCGAAGAAAAGGAGGAGCAGAGAAGAAAATTGAACCCGTTTTTAAGACGACTACTGGACTACCTGGGAAAGGATCGCGAGATTGAAAAAGAATCGCAACATTTAAGAGATGGTAAGTACAAATTATATAATTAGAGCAGTAGGCTTCTTTCTCTCTCGTCTTGTGAAATACATAAATTGACACGATGGTACGCCGAGAAGTGACAAATAGCGTCCTTAAAGTGGACCGTTTAATTTGACTAATTCAAGATTCCACGGAGCGGGACAGACGGCATTTTAAATTGTCATTTTAATGCGCTTAATGAAGCAAGAGAGCTCGGTCTCGCGCGCGCTCACCGTCTCTTGACATTAGCATAACAGAATAGGAAACGCAGTCGTATCTGCGACAATATAATAATACCGGCGAATCCTTCTGGGAAGGATCGCGCGCGTGTGTATTCGCTCGATGGATTACACGTTGCACGATCATAATGTCATGCCCCGAAGAGACGTGTTGCAAATTTTAATTCGACGTTTCCTTTCTGACGACTTTATATTTTTCCTTTTTTTTGTTGTTCAAACGCCACGGCGCGTCTAATCCACATGCCATCTTGCATGATGCTATGCATCCGATAATGACAGATCCCAGTTGTAGTAAATTGCGCGGGGACTAAATTTATACAAGATATGTTTATACATAATTTTGCATAATGACTGTAATTTCTAACAGAGAAATTTAACGTAAAATAATGCTGATATTTTATACATATTAATCGCACTCATTAGAGCAGAATAGAGACTGAATATAAATGATGTTGAGATTAAGATAGAATTTTCTATAATTAATATTGTTGCAACATAGTGATATTTCCACGATTTCATTTAAAATGTAATTTGTGTCTTCCCGTCCTCCGGTCACGTCCTGTCCGGTTAAACTCAGCTCTCAGTATGTCAGTCCACGCGCGTGCGGAGACAATAAGCGTGTCTTCACGCGTGTAATTTACGGCGCGAATCGACGTTTCTTCTCTCGCCGCGAATTTTTCTCGGAACTGAGGGAGCGCGTTTCCTCGACGAATTTAAACGACCGGTGATGTCGATCGGCGGGAATGTGTCGTGCAACATTGGTGTTATTCCTCCGTCCGGCTCTCGTCCGGTCACAGTCGCGGTTCCATATACGGTCGTATAACTGCATCTTTTGCAGCTGCATCTTTCGGCGCTCGAAGCCGCGACATCGTCATCGCACTCGTAAAACCCGGACGATTCTCCCACGCCCCGAGATAACGAGCTTACCAGCGGATATGCTACGTAATAATCCTCGAGCCCCGGAAAACCGGAATAAGCTGTGGGCAAAATTACACTCGGGGCGAAGTTTCCGCTATCTCTTTTCTCCTTCGATGTACTGTGACTTCAAATTGTTCCCTTTCAAGTTTCTCTTCTTTTTCTTCGAGATTCTTTTCGCGAATAAAGTTTCCAAAAAAATTTATTTCTGCATTTAAAAATGTCGAAGTGTGCAAAACAGACTTCTATGAGTTATTATTGATTCTCTTGTTTTTTAAAATATTTTTTGCATTGATATGAAAGCGCAGGATAAAAACTTTGAATAAATATTCTTCAAAAGGAAGATACTGCCGAGAGCTTATCTAGTTGATATCATTAATTATGCCCTAATTAATTCTCGGTCATTGCAAACACGGTTGTTTTTCGTAGTTATCGGCTATCATCATCGATTATAGATATTATGCAACATTGTTATTCGCAAATATATATACGCGATAATTTTCGCGAAAATATTGTACACCATTGATGTATAAGGTCAAAGAAATTAAATTAGATATAATTAATATAGGCATCAGACTCGAGCTGCATCGAATGAGCCGGTGCATTTTATAGCACATATGAAAGAAAGAGGAAATCAGCGTGGGCAGCGAAAGGGCATCAGGAACAGATGGGGCAAATAAGGGGGCAAAGGGGGATCGAGATACGTGTCTCTCGACATGTTTTTATCCGGCATGAAGCTTGTCACAAGGTTTTATGTGTTTATTTATCTCGCTTCTCTCTTGCGCGGCATAGCACCATGTATATATCGACGAGAATCTCTCTTTCGATGGCCTATTGGAAGTTATCTCCTTTAACCCTTTTGCTGCTCTTCCTCTCTCCTCCCTTCTCTCAAGATCTGTGTGCTCCCGCTTCTTTTTTTCTCAACAAGACGCTCGCGACAACCGGTCCTCCGGAGGATGCTATCCGGGTGTCGCCGAAGGTCCACAAAAAGCTCCCGGTATCTCCCTAATTACTATCTTTCTTTGTCACATATTGTACGACAATCTGAATTTTGAAATTGGATACATACTATTATCACGGATGATATATCTCCTCTTATCATCTTTCCGATCAATTGACTTCTTAACAACATATCATCACACGCACTCTCTATATATCGTTAAAAAATTATGTTCTTAAAAAAAGATAGAAAAGAGCGAAGTTCACACGGGACCGCTTAAAATAATTGTTGTAATTATTTTAATCGGAAAATTCTCAATTTTATTTTTCTTCCTCGTGATTAGCAGAGATTGTCATCTTCCGAACGATACACGCGAGAGGGGAATAAATCGAAGGAAGTTCTCCGCGTTCGAAGAAAATGTTTACACGCTCGCTTAAGTCGTCGTCTCCTCACGTAGACCGCTTCATCACGCGTTCCGGACCGTCACGCTCTCTCCTTCTTTTTATTTTTATATTACCATAGTGGATAATCGTTATTAAGTGTTAACGTATCGCGTATTTTATTATTTTCTGTTACGCGAGTATCAGAGATCTTGCGGTGTGTTTCGTCTCGACGCGCGTTCGACCGCCACGGTTTTATTATCAAACCGTAAGAAAGGGAGTCCGCTCGTAAAAAAACCAACCGGAGAGGAAACAGATGGAGAGGAAATCTCTCGCGAGAGAGGGAAAGATTTGATCGACCAAATTATACAGTCCCGGATACGAGCCTCGGCACGAGCGTGACGTTAACTCGTGTCACTGAAATTTTTGAATGCCACTTTGCATACGCGCTACAGATTTAATTGCCGATCGTTGGAGGCGACGCATGTAAATATACAGGGTGTATCTAAATGAGTGCGAAAAATTTTAAGAGATGACTCTTTGTTGAGAATTAAGGGGAATTTCTTATATTTTTTTCTCAAATTTCATACAAATTCAAAAAATGAAATTTGGTGGATATTTTCGACTAATAAAAAGGATATTTATTAATATTTTTTTATCTTTCTATATTGTTAAAAAGAGATGAAACTAACGACCCCCATTTAATTTTGATACCTTTTTAACGGATCGGAATATAATCATCTAAAAATATGCGTTAGAAAGTTTGATTCCTTTAGAAACCTTTTTGTCTTTTATTTTTTTCCATAAAATCAATAGTTTTTAAGAAGAAAAATAAAAATTAATTTTTATCTGCTTCTTTAGAAGAATGTAACTTCTTAGGGAGAGATATAAGAGTATATGTTTATATAAGAAACCCTCTTCAATTTTCGATAAAAAATTATCTCCTAAAATTTTTCACACTTATTTAAATACCTACACCTTGTATGATACGGCCGACGTGAAAATTAATCGCTTATCTTTTACGACCCATATACCTGTCTTTCGAAACTTTTCTACAAAGAGATATGTACACGATTAAAAAAATTGCGGCACATATTAAAATCAAAAATCAAAACCGGTATACGTAAATGTATATAATTTTAAGTGTGTTTAAATCTCAGTATCTCGCACGTAATCGCGAGAAATCCCTACATTTATTCACGATAATAGAGACTGTAATAATGGTAGCACGATTTTATTTCGCGTCTATCAACTCGTTTGATTAACATTCGCGATATACATACAATATATAACACACTGGTTATATATGTTATAATTTCAGACAATTAATATGTATTTTCCCGCTCTCGCGAAAGTGCAGGTTTTCGCGCGGCTCTTGAAAGTATAATTGAGCTCATTGAGCGCGGGATACTCTGGACTAGATCCTACGCATTAGGGTTACTTACTTGAAAAACTATAAACGGACGCGTATAATAAAATGCATTGACGGTCCACGAAGGCGGATTGAAGGCGGCGATGAGCGGATGTTAACGGTTAATTAAAAGTATCGATCTCGATCGGTGATCTTTAGAGAGTATATGCGTGTGTGCATGTGTATGTGCAAATTATATATGTATATTTTGCCGTCTTGCATAAGTCACGCTGCTCCAATTTCCAGTCGCGGAGAGACACGCGCGAAATTACACGCTCGGCGTGTAAAACGGCGGCGATTTTACGCACCTCTTGAGAACAAGGCGTCAAATATACGTTCGGAGATCATTACGATCGACACACTTGCCCGATATTAAAATATACGTACGTGTGTAAGTAAATGTGCGCGACAAGTTGTCAATTTTTTTACAAGGATCCGGCCTGAAAAACGATTCGTTTCTCGTTCCATAGAATAGTCTATTTTTATTTAAAATAAAGATCATCATTATATACACGATCGCACGCGCGATATATTTGACATTTGATGTTTGACATTTGACGTTCGACGTTTCTCACACTTGATGAAAAAGTTTCTCGCGACTGTTTCTTCATATTTGTTCAAGTATATGCAGTATGCAATTATATGCAAACGCATGAAAATTGGAAAACTTTGACGCTAATCCGACGATAATAAATATATAATATCATGAAATAAGCGAGAAAAAGAGAAAGAGAGAGACACGTGGAATTTTTGTTGACGACGGTGGATAGATTAAATCGATGTTTAATTTGTGTTTTTCTCTGCATTTCAATCTTCGAAGGTGTCGTGTCGTATATCATTAGATAAAATAATTACATAATAATTCCGCTACGCGGACTTTATAATTATTCACGCACCTTGATGGCGTAGCTATAAATCACACGATGTGTTTTGTAATACACACGTATACAAGGAATTACATTACACACTTTCCAGTCCTAGTAAATAAATTGCTTTCGCGTTTTTCTCTTTCCCCTTTCCCTTTCTCTCTTCCCGACTCCCCGGTTTTCATCAAAAACCTCCTCGTAATATGTTAATCATTTGCGACACATGGATGCAATTCGCGCTTTATGCAAATCGCATCTGCGTCAGTGATATCTATTACGACTCTGTTTATCTTTCGTGCATAATGAAAGAACTATGAATGATGAATGGAAGATCTATCGTCATTTGATTTATGGCAACGACCCGATAATGCTGCGATCTTTTCGTATATATAATCTACCCCTTTAAATGATAAATTTCTTAAAATTTGAAAAATGAAAGTAAACTCAAAAAGTTCACGAGACTGAAAAAAAAAATCAGCTGCAGCATCTCGCATAATGGAGAGTAAATAATATAATTTTACATAGTCTTCATACAAATTTTTTTCTTGAACGAACAAATTCCGTTATCATAGATCACAGTTTAATCAATTAAAATTGGTCCATAAAAATATATGATTTTCCTCTTCGCGAAGATACACATATTTTCCACATTGTCTCGATAAATACAATCGAACGAATAACAAGCGAACGATATTCGCGACACGTTATCACCTTCGGGGCTTTCGTGTGTGGATATACTTATACTGGAAGAGCACACGAGCATTTCCAGTGCCTCCGCTTGTGTGTATCTCTCTTTTCTCTTATTGTGCGTACGCGAATATGCGCCTCCAAGCCAGGCCGAAGGCGAAGAGGCCGGGGACCGTTAGCGACACCTCCTTTACACACACGCACGTGCACCATGTAAATTTCAGGAAAGATTAAAGTGACTAAAGAAAAGAGGAAAAGAAGGAGAAACGGTGTGTATATGTGCACCGAGACACGGGAACTGGGAATCGCATTTCAATAAAATAAACTCTCGACACATTGCGCGAGCCGAAATAACAGTTTACAATTATCGAATACAAAATGCGAAAACACATGTTGTTATAACGACATTCATGTTATCTAGGGTTAATCTGCATAGTTATTGGCGGTAATTATCATGCGTTAGCATATTTCACAAGTGGATTTGCGCTTTTTTAATTCGAGGGTACTTCAAGATCTGTTGAGATCTCTCCTAGTCTCGATATTTAAAAAAACATTTTACAAAATCTTTATCACCTTCATGTGAACAGACAAGTATTAACTCTTGCAGGATTTGAATTGATTCTATTTAAGGTGAATAAAAATGTATGTATCATTTTTAATTATGATGATAATCAATTTTATCTTAAATCTTGATGATGAAAAGTCAAACTTTTAAATATTGAGTAGGAGAAATAATAAATGACTATTGTGAAAGGAAGTAAAGTTTTTTACATAACAATCCGTGAGAATTCGAGCACTTTTGGTAGCAAGGCACTCAACTTGAATGACGATAAAAAAATTCTCTCTCGTTTCTTTCTGAAGGCGATACTGTTCAACGACGAGAGACATTAAAAATTGTCGTGCAAATGACGTAGGGTGCGTAGTGTGAAAAAAATCAGCGCGACGAAAAAACGAGGAGAGATGAGAGGAAAAAAGGACCACATGTGTCGGGATGCTGGGATGTTGTCGTTGACATCTTCTTACCATACAACACTCTCCGCGAGAAATGGGTTCAATGAATCTGTCCCGGGCTCGTATTTTTGCGCGTCGCGCGAAACAGCCATCGAGGTCGTGCGACATCGCGCTGACCGATCTTAAAAATAATCACGGTTCATCTGGCGCCGTGATAAGTAACGTGTCGCCATGAGATTCCCCCTGCTGGATCCGCCGTAAAATATATTACTGCCAATATTTCGACCGAGATACGATCGTGCCTTGTCGATTTCTCAGCGATCGAATAACATCTCTAATTTTATGCGATTCCCTTAATTGTTCTTTTAAATTAAAAAATGTATTAATCATAAATTATTATTTCACTTTTTATCTGCAGAGGTTCAGAAAAATAAGTGCGAAAAATAAGAAGCGCAAAGTGCAAATAAGAAGCAAAAGTCTTTACAAAACAGATGAATTAAAATTACTTTCTACAGTAAATCTTAATTTTATTCAGTCATTTAACATCGCAAAATAAATCGTGCATGAAAAATAATCAAAGGCGAATTACCTTGCGCAGCTTCGAGGAAAGGATTCGCGACAACCAGCGCGAAAAGGGTTGCAATTGTTGTTATCAGCAGCATCGCTAAGTAGTGTATTTTATCGGTGCGCTCTTGCAAGACACTCTTTGAATCCCTCCGCAACCACGTGCGAATTCACCTCATGTCACCACCGAATGCACGCGAGCACGTGTTTATTTGTCAAAAAAAAAAAAAAAAAAAGAAGAAAAAGAGAAGGCGGACGGGAGGGAAAAAGATGTCAGTCTTAGAGACGTTCTGTGGACTCACATGTCGAGATGGGACACGCGTGACACTTGTACAGAACCGAGGTGTGTACTCGAGCGCAGCTCGTGAACGACTAAGCTTTTCGTGGCATTTACGAGTTGAGCTTTTTACTGAGTGGGTGAGAGGAAGAAACGTAGAGAGGAGAGCCGGTGCCCCTTCGAGTATCGGGAGGGGACTGAAACGACGAGGGCGAGAGCGAGCGAGGGAAAGAAAGAAAGAGTGAGAGGAGAACAGAAACACAGCGAGAAATTGCATGTGTGGGTGGGAAGAGATGTATAGTGCGTGCATTTGTCACAATAGTGACATCTTCGGTCGTATACTCTACCGCTTTTTTTATTTTTTTATTTATTCTCCATCGTCCCTTAACCGCGTACGACGTGATGAGATCTCCGTTTTTGAGTGGTTTTTTTTAACGTGTACACGTAGTAAGAAAATTCTGTTGCCTTTAACTTTTATAGGTAAACAATTTTTTCAGAAAAATTCTAGTTTGAATTTAATGTTTTGCTATTTTAATAACTTTCGAGGAATCCAAAATAGTTACGAGATAATAACTTGTGATTTAGAAGTTAAACATGTTTTCTCAAATCCAGCTAATGATCATTGTTCCTGAAAATACATTTTACAATAGATAGAAAAATATTAAAATCAGATCACATAAATAAATTTATTTTAATATCAAAATAAATTTTTAGGTATAGTAAATCGTGCTTTCTCTTTCTTTATAACATCGATATAAGCTAGTTTTTTTAATCACGACATTTTTAAACTCGTATTATATAACAGACGAATTATAATATTTATGTAGCTCAGTTATCGAGAGTTTCATCAGCGCGTCGAATTAGGATGGTGCATAGGAAGATAGGAACGAATTGGACGAAAGAGCATGCGTAATGGACCACTTGACCATATTCATTCTCCGGCTACAACGTTTTCTTAAGTGTATACTTCTCGAGTCGAGACACACTGGCAAGTCTCGAACAAAAATCAGTCCGTGCCCATAAATCTAATGTCTTTGCGGACCCCATTGCCTCGTAACTTCGAGTGGCGTCGTATTCCGAGAAGAAAAGCTGATAACCCAGCTATAGGCAACGTAATTTCCGCTGATAACGTTGCGATATGACGGACGTAAATCTTTGTAATACATTTCTGAGATATCGATACTTCAGCCAGACGCAAAGTCTCAGATATTTAATCTTCATGTTCGGATCATGTCGATCAAACGTTTAATTTGCATTTGTACATATTTGGCTTAAACAGACTCTAAAGGCATATTATCGCGAGATAAGATCCGCAATGAATTAATCATTAATGCAGAGTTATTAATTAGTTAAAAAAGCTTGATGCCCGCTGCATCGTTTTCGATGAACGGCTTAATTAAAGGTCGGAGCGAGATTTCCTTGAACTGCATAACTTGCATATTTCTCTACGCTGTCTGATTTATCACGCAGTCAGAGTTTGGACCGCGGAGAGAGGGTCCATCCATTTTTTATCGATGTCTCTCGTCGGCCAACGGGTGTTCGAAAACATGTCCGACGTCGTCTCCGGATATTTGATTGACTGATCGGAGCGGATTCTCGGAGCGCTCGTAATTTATTAATTTATTCCCCCGATAAATCGCCTTCAATCCGCACGTGGGCAGCGGACGACCGGTTCTTGATAGCTCTTTCTCTTTCTCTCTTTTCTCATTTAATCTCGTCTCTTTCTCTCCCAGCTGTCCCTTTGAAGGGGGAAAAGGCCGTTATTCTACTGTCGATGTAAATGACAGCAGCGTGGTATGTCATTTGCGTTACGTAGCACAATTGGCGGGTGTTATGCAAAAATGTGTCAAGCCACTAATTTTACGCAAATCAAGTTAAGAATGCACAATTTCGCACCAATATTCCATCAATCATTAGTAGAATTTATTTTTTTCTCTTCTAAGCTTGCTGATGTAATATACTATATATATTCTTACATAATATCCGCGTCTAATTATATTTTTGTTATAAAAATACGAGCGATTCTCTCGAACATTTTTCTCGTCATTCGTCATCATCGTCGTCGCGATTCCAAGGCAATCATAGAAATGCAGACTAAAGTCCACCCCCGATCAGCAGTCGCGTAAAGTAAACGCGCGACCAGTTCCGCGATCCGAGTCTCTTCTCCCGAGACACGTCCGCTATGTTAATCGCGCGCGATCGTATAAATATTCAAACACGCGCTGGACCACAGCTCGAACGGACCTCCGTGCTACCGGCTCCGCCGCTACCTGTCGCGCATAGATAATTAACAATGATTAACGATACGCAAAGTCGATCCGCTCGCGGCGATCGATACCAAGTCGGTCGCAAGAATGTAATTCTCGAGATCCCGACGACGCCTATTCACCAGCAAATTATATAAGAAAGAATTACCCTCGATTCATATTCATTTCTTTTGGCGATAATTACAGATTTTATTGATATTCATATAATTTTTTTTCAGAAATTCAACGTAGTCGTTATGAATCTCTCTCTCTTTCTCTCTCTCTCTCTCCATTTCTCCGAAATTTCAAAGAGCTTCACGTTATCGCTTGATAGAGACATTCGAGATAGAATGCGAGGACGTATTTCAATTGTCCCCCGAGGGATTCCGGAGAGGGTTCTCTGCCAAAGAGTTCCACACGCGAGTGCCAATTCCAAGGAAACCAGTTTCGCCGATTGGCGAACGCGATCGGAGTCATCGCAAAGTGCATACCGGTTTAACCTCATCGAACCTCATCGGACAAGGTACCATAAGGATCTTTATTCCATATAGGTGAACGTAGCTAATTTGTAAGGCCTTGATATTAGAGCTGGCGTCGCCAGGAACTTTTTACCGAACTCCGTCGTAAACAAGAAGTTTGCAAATGCAACTCCATTATTTTCGCCCACGTTTCATTCTAGCTTTACATAATTTTATACGAAGCTTAACAGAATTAATTATATTATATATAAAGTAAAATATAGTAAAAGAAAACTGATTTATAGTTATTAGGCCTTGAGCTCGGTCTAGACCATTTTTGTCTTAATTTTAAACGCTTTAGTATTAAAATTTCAGTCGCAATTATCGCGGTTTGCCTTCCTTCCATCTGTCCATTTATTTCCTCTAGACAAACATTCTCGATGACGTTCTTTGTATCGGAACGATCTAATACTAAGAAGACGATCCGGCAACGCGGACTCGATTTAACTCGCTTAAGTACTCGGGATGATTATTAATTATCTTCATGCAGACTCGTCGGCTAATTGGACGGCATCGTATGCGTCCAACGAGATGAGTGAGACGCGAATTTTGATTCATCGCAAACCTCGGTTTAAGAAGTTCATTGTCGTCGAAAAATTAAAAGAAGTTGCCAAAGAGAAAGTGTTAGAAAGTTTGATTAGCGAGAGAAAATAAAAAGTTACGAGAGAGGAAGAGATAAAGATTTAATAAATGCTAAAGATTGAAATTGAAAGTTTAACATGTTTGATATATTTTAATCTTAATTTAAAATTAGATATTCTCCATTGAAACGAATTCCCTTCGATTTATTCTGACTCATTTATTTTTTACAGGGAGGAGCGAAAACGGAAAAAGAGAGGGAAAGAGGAATAAACAGTTCGTTGAACGTATTCAGCGGCGATCGTCGACCGCATGTCAATGAGGGCAAGCTGAAAAGTCAGCAAATCGAACATCGTCGTGCAACCATCGTGAAAAATCGCATTTACCGTGCAAATTTGTCGCGAACGGAATCCCGAGCGCTCGCATCTGCATTCGCGATACGTCGGTCGGTCGGTCGGTCGTTTGTACGATGCCGCGACACGTTCGCGATCGCTCGAATAATAATAAAAGGTCGCAATCCGTGATGTCAATCGCATTGTCCGTACAACGGCACCAACCTGCGTGATTCGCGTTGCATTCTGCAATTTGCAATAATGCGCACCGCGGCATTTTCCTTTACGCGCCGATCTGTCATTACAGAAAGCTCGGGGACAATGCGACCGAGCAGATTAGAGGAATTGGAATGTGCGATAATGAACAATGCTGTTCTCGGTATCGCAGATTAGCGCGCAATATATACATTTTTCAGTATCGTTTTATTAATAATACATAAAAAATTGACACTATGCGTACTGCACTTTGACAATGTATCTTATATACATACCGTCATAATTATAACGTTATGCGATCGATAGTTTCGCCGATACCGCGTGTTGGGATTCTCACAGAACAGAACAGAGTCACCCTCGCGAGAGACCACATCGGCGTTACCGACAGCGTGTTTTAAAAGGGTGCCGAGCGGCGCTGATGGTAGCGTCGTCGGGGGTGGTTGCGACGATGGTGGCGGGCACTCTCTGCGCGCCAGGCAGAGGTGGTGAGCCGTAAAATCGTCCGGACGGAGGAGCGACTGCGGCGGTTGTGCCATATGGAGCCGAACGACCGGGCGACGTGTTAGGCAATCGGCGGTCCCGCGATTCCGCGGGACGAGCGCGAGGGCCTACCACGAGGAGAGCGCGAATGTTCATCGATCCGACGAGTTGGGTGAGCAGGAGAGAGTGAGCCGCGCCGTCGAAGAAAGAAAGGAAGGAAGGAAGGAAGGAAGTCAGCCAGCGAGCCAGCCAGGCCAGGCGAACGATCGGCTTCCGAGTGCACGCGTACTCGTCGGCACGAGGGATCCAGAAATGGGTCAACCCGACCCAGCGGCGGCCGTTTTCTCGCCACTCGGTGGCCTAGTTTCATCGGGGGCGAGCAAATAAAAAGAATCGCGACGCCCCCTGCCCACCTCCTGCCCACGTCGTCGCGACGTTACATGCGTTTCGTCGTCATCATCGTCGTCGACAACGCAGCTGATCGCGGAACCGTCTGCTCTCCGTCGCGGGAAAGAATTATGGATTCTCTCGGACTTCCTGCTGGCCTTCGACTGGCGTGTGTCCATCGATTAATTCGCCGCCCCGACGTCGCGATACGGCATTAGACACGGCTGATAGCCGGAGTCGCTGCGGGGGTGAAATCGCCGAGGAGGTGAGAGAAGCCACGTTATAGATATATATATATACAGTGAGTTCAAGTGATGAACGTTCGGTGCTTCGAAAGAGGAATACGTTTTTCAGTCTATTTTCGTCATCAAGGTTGAAATACGCCGCGATTAAATTGACTAAAGTTTATTATAGTGACTAGATTATCGTCATCAACATTTTTATTATTTCAATTTTTTTCAGTCTGTTCGATTAATTTCTTTTCGCTGGAAAAGAGAAATTTTCGACAAGTTTTTTTCTTCTTCCTGGAAAGTTTAGGACAGATGTACTCGGTAACGTCGTTAGTATGCAACCCCCTTTTCACGGTCGTCGAAAGGGATGTCCGGTTCGATCGCGCTCCCAAGGGAAAAAAGGGAAATGTCAGGAAGATCGAGCGATGTTACCACGATGAAAATGCTTTCCCAAGTGTTCATTCGTATTATCTCGTTTTCAAATCATTTTATTAAATTTATAACAATTTGTTAAAACGTGTTTTTGCGCGCGCGATTGCTTCTGAAATTAAATTATATGGATATATGTATGATAATGCAAATTAATCAGATGTTATATCTGCATTAACTATTCTATTTTATTTGCTGTTTTATTTTTAACTAAATTAAATTAACAAATTTTATCAATTATATATTATATAAAAAAGATTCAATCAACTTTTCTTATTTAATTGAATCAGTCATGACGAGGATTCTTCGTAAAATGATTTTCAAGGATATGAACGAATTAAATCGAGAAATTACGATAATTTATTCGTTGAAAGCAAACTATCCTGAGAGCATATCGATTGTCAGAAGAAACTAATCGAAATCGCTTTAAATTATCCGTCATAAAGTATCCGCGCGTACTAATTGTAAGTACTGCGATGTACCGTAAATGAAAAAGTAATTCTAAAGTAAATCTAAAAAGTAATCACAACTAGCGCCGATCTTCTCCTTCCGTATCGTTCGATCATGATGAAAATGCTTCCTCATCAAGTTTCTCCTTCGTAAAGAGCTTTTCCGATGGTATGGAGAATGTTGGAATATATAAATATAGAAAAAGCAAAGGAAAATAGAGAAAAAAAGTATTTATAATAGAAAATAAGTTTTTACGTGAACATAAACTTGACGATCCAGTTTTTATTATGATATAATTATTTTTATATTATTTATAGAGTATTTTAATGCACACATACACTTAATTATATTATTAATATTATTTAATCTTATTTACATTTTATGTAAATTATAAATTATTATTTATATTCTGCAGGATATTATACACACGTTGCATAATAATTTTATCATTGCAATATAATAACCATGTACTATATAACCAAAATAATCGAGAATTTTTTGCTGCAAATACCAATTAATGATATTTACATAATTATATAAATATTCTATATTTATATAAAAGGATTACATTATCTGAGATCTTCGCGAATGTCTTTTTCTTTTTACATTATATTCACTATGGAAACTTCAAACTAATCCTATTTATCGCGCGAGACAAGTCGGTGTTACATTTACAGTACAATAATCATTAATCTATTCAATTAAATTTCTGGAAAGATTTGGAAGACCATTATCCCTCGGACACGCTGAAAAATGGCATCCAACAAACCACCTGAGATGAACTACACGTGCGAGATATGCGGTCTGGAAGGCTTCAACGATGAGGAGATGCGTTCGCATATGGTGCAGTATCATCTCCAGGGCGCTGCCAACTGCCCGTTCTGTGATCTGGGTGAGATCTCGCCTACGGAGATGCTGGTCCACGTCAACAGCGCTCACCTGGACTACCTGACTCCGAGGTGCGCTTAACAGTACAATAAGTATATAGATCTATCACTTCCATAGCTTCTTTTCAGACTTTCGTTTAGTCTAGATTTCTCTATGAAATAATAGAAAAAAAAATATGTAAAAGAGTGATGGCAAATTTTACCTATTTCTGGGACCTCGAATTTCAAACTTTTTTCATGGCAAATAGGACTATTAGATGAAACATTAATCCCAAAATTTCAAGATGAGCATAAGTACGATTCCGAAGATACAGGGGGGAAAGTACTGGTTTTTAGTCAGTTTTAGTCATCTTGAAATTTTACTGGGATTAAGGTTTCATCTAATAGTACTATTTGGCATAAAAAAAAGTTTGAAATTTAAGGTCCCAAAATTCGACCCTATAATATGGGCGAAAAAACAGAGGTCTCTTGGCCATCACCCTTTCTTTAAAAATTTATATATTAATCTTTAACAAAAAAGTTATATATATATATATATATATATATATATTTTCTTTTTTATTATTGAAAGGGAAAATGAGATAAAAGCAAATAGATGAAATAAATTGGTTACTTGTTTATTTTCGCGAAAAAATGATATTAAAAATTATATTAAGAACTAATACATAAAAGATATATCTTCTCTAAAGCCAGATAAATATTAATTATCTAATTTTATCCATGATCTTTCCCCATTTGCTGTTCCGTAATATGTCTGGTACAAAAATAGACGGCTAACGCGCGCATTTAATCCCCTGTCCGACTTTACCTCATTTCCCCTAATAATAAATAAAGATGATAATTATAAATCATTTTTTTTTATATATGAATCACAAGAAACTTATTTGGCAAAAAATTGAATAAATAGTTTAAAAATTTTTTATACAGATTTAAATTTAATAATTAAAAAAAAACAATTAAAACGAAACGTTTAATGACTGTTTTTTTTGTTTAATCAATTAATTTAAATAATATATATAAATCTCGAAACTGAAAAATTCTATGTATAGTTTAAAATCAGATTTACACATGTTAACATTAATAACAGCTTGTGAACAATCAAAAAGTAGCTTGTCATTATTTGAATTATGTATGAAGAACTCGCAAAAAAGTAATTTCAATACGAATAAGAAATGTCATTATTTATCTTAATTCTTCTCAGCATTTTGTTGCGTTTGTTTTGCTGTAATAATACATATATAAATGCGTAAAATTATATATATATATATATTTAATTAAAATTATTTATATTATTTAATTGACTAATAAATTAACTATAATTTTCGACATGTTTTCGCAACGCACGTGCGAGCACAAAATTCCGATTATCACACGTCGATGAAATTTACCGACGTGTCCATGAATTTCTAGTAACTTTGCTGACATTTTGAATCTCCCTGAAGAACCATGTGACTAACAGTTTAAACTACCTGTCTGAGAACGGTACTGTGCCAAGTGTCTTTAAATATATTCGTGTGAATCCAAAATAAAGCTGCAGGAGAATTTAGCTCCTCGATAAATGAAAATTCTTATGAATAAGAGAAATATTCGAGTGTGAGAGGAAAGAACTTGACGACGTCATGTGGAAAAGGGCGAGAAAGCGGCGATGCATCAGAAATTGGATTGTTTTGACTGAAATGTAACACTCTTCGTAGATACATTTTCTTATTATGTAAACGGAAGACTCGAGCCTTTCGTGTACACATTGGCGTACATATAAATATTGTCCTCTATTTCTTTATTGATCAATATGATCGTGCTAACGCTCTGTTTATATATTTACAGTACCCCGGAGAACGATATGATGGCATTCATCGACGACGACTCGCTGATGGACGAGCACAACAGGCGGGACGAATGTCGAGCGTCCTCGCCGTCCATGTCTCTGCGACCACCTCATCTGCAGAATGGCTGGGGCAGTTCTCTGGGGCAGCGTGTCAAGCAACAGCAGCAGCAAATGCCGCCGAGAAAGCCGGACGTTCAAATAACAAATCCCAATGTGAATAATAATAACAACAATAACAACAGTAACAATGCCAATGCCGGTAAGGGATATATGTGGTTCAAAACTGTATTCGATAGTGGGAATGCGAGGAATACCCAGCACAAAACATTTCAGAGACCTTCGCAAAATTTATTCAAAAAAGTTTCATATACGTCTTACATACGTGAAAATGTCCGCTGTTTTGTCACAAATATGTTTATGATTGCATAAATGTTTCACATGTTACTTTTTCTATGTTATGTTTCTTAAATGTTATAATGACGTTTCAGTGTTACTTGAAACTTTTTTGAAACTGAAATGTTTCTGCAACATTTCTGTTGAGTGTTTTATGCTGTGTGGGTATGAACATATGGCTTTTCTATTCAGTGCTGGAAGGTGCAGCTGGTCAAGGTTCACCGCTGCGTTCAGGCCTAAATTTGCAACTGCGCTCGCACGCTTCCCCAAAACTTCCAGTGCAGGAGTGCCCAATGTGCCCCTACAGTTCCGACAGTCCACTGAGACTAGAAGAGCATATCAATCGCCAACACTTTGATCTCACCTCGCCGTCCTTCCCACCAGAATCTCCGCCGTCTCGTGATGGAATCTTCAACTGCCCGCTTTGTGTTACGTCTTTTCCGAATTCTTCTGATCTTGAGTTACACGTTAATATTGAGCACAAGGATATACTTAGGTACGATGTGTCCACTTGCTTCAATTATATTATTATTTAATATAGCATTATGTCTATAAAATAACAGTAAATTAATAGTAAAATTATATGATAAATCTTTGATTTATTGAAACAATCAATATAGTAAAAGAGGCCAGCATAACGAGCATTAAATAGAATGTTAGAATCAGAAATTTATTTAATATATTCTGCAAGCATTGTTAAACCGAAAAAAATATCAATCGAATCGGACAAACCGTAAATTTACAAAATCTTACATAAAAGAATTAGACGTTTCGACTGCACGCAGTCTTCTTCAGTGTTACATAAATTATCAAGTCATATCTCAACCGCTATTATATTACATTAATATCCTATCGAATTAATAATGTTAGAAATGTGTTACGTGTCGCAATGTGTCTTATCTGATGTTTCGTCCATCCGTGAAATTTCTTCGTTTCTTTGCGAGCAGCTCGGTACATTGTTGGAATTGATACCGAGCTGCTCAGTGAGGCTTATCTTGATGTTTTAAACATGTTAACAAACAGATGATAGATTACTAAAAAGACAAATAAGACATCAACATTTTTTACATAATAACTTAATATATATAAACACTCTTAGCTTGTTGACTTGATACAGTTGGAAGTGAGATATCTTAACGAACTAACAGTTATAAAGTTTTTTAAAAAATAATGTGAAATCAGCATAAAGAAATTTAAAAGTAAGCCGAACAATTACGTAAGATTTTATAAATTGTGACCGATTATTAATTGACTTGATTGTACGCAGCGCATACCGTTATTAACCATTCTCGCAAAGAAACGAAGAAATTTCACGGGAAGCATTTTATAGCTTAAGAGGGATCTCTACACAAAAGGATTCATGGACGAAACATCAGATAAGACACATTGCGACACGTAACACATTTCTAACATTATTAATTCGATAGGATATTAATGTAATATAATAGCGGTTGAGATATGACTTGATAATTTATGTAACACTGAAGAAGACTGCGTGCAGTCGAAACGTCTAATTCTTTTATGTAAGATTTTGTAAATTTACGGTTTGTCCGATTCGATTGATATTTTTTCGGTTTAACAATGCTTGCAGAATATATTAAATAAATTTCTAACATTCTATTTAATGCTCGTTATGCTGGCCTCTTTTACTATATTGATTGTTTCAACAATATACGAGCGAATATTAAATTTATGTTTTTTGATTTATTTTTGATAGTCCTGCAAATGGAACAACCTCACAATCCGATACAGCTACCATCAGTAGTGATTCAACACCTGCCTGCCCTGTATGTCTTAGTACATTATTTAAAAATAATGACGACCTAATGGCACACATCGATGAACACTTTAGCAAGAAGAGCACACCATCGCCTGTGACACCAGACGTGTCGACCGATAGAATGCTAGCGAAAGACATGGAAAGAAGGGAGAAGGAGGTGAGAAAACTGCGCGAACAACGCGAGTTTGAGATGCTGAGAGCACAATATGGCATGGACAATCAGGGTAACTTCAGAGAACAGAGCGTCACTAATATGCAGCGGGCTGTATATGCGGGCGAAATGACGGTGGCCGATTTTTTTGAGAGGCAAATCGAGCTCAGGGCCGCCGAGAGTAGCGGCATTGACGATGGCAGTTCTTGTACACGCGGTAAATAATTTACAATATTCCTTACGTAACAAAATTATTTCTGAAAACCTTTAATATGGTATTTATTTTTTTCACAGGGCTGGTTCCGAAAGTACGAGCCATTAGTCAAGCTTGCAGTAACGTAGTGAATACCTGGATGTGTTCCACTGTGGACCATTACGCGTCGACTTACGGCGACAAAGGCTGGGGTTGCGGTTATAGAAATATGCAGATGCTAATCTCATCTCTCTTGCAGCACACAGGGTATAACGAGCTAGTTTACAAAGCGTGGAGCTCTGGTGCCGGTGGCAATAGCTCCACGGAAAATCCCTTGCGCAGCTCCATGCCGTCAATTTCAAGATTACAAAAGATGATTGAATGGGCGTGGGCTCAGGGCTTCGATATACAGGGTGCGGAGCAACTTGGTGGTAAACTTGTTAATACTAGAAAATGGATCGGTGCGACGGAAGTATTCACGTTGCTGTCTAGTTTGAGGATAAAGTAAGTTCCACGTTTTAGAACGATTGTCAAGTCATACGACGCACATTATTCTCTTCCTGGCTTTGTACAGGTGTCAACTGGTGGACTTTCATAGACCTACTAGCTCTGACGGTAGTCATCCTGAATTGTTCAATTGGGTCTTGCAGTACTTTCAACGATGCGAGGACTTTAAGCCACCTCTTTATCTTCAACATCAAGGTAATTATGTTCTTCTTATATCTTTTTAAAGTTAAAATATCTATTTACTAATTGATGTTCATCAATGTTAATAAATTCAGGACATAGCAGAACGATAATGGGTGTGGAACAATTGAGGGACGGTTCAATAACCATGTTGGTACTGGATCCGAGTCACAGTCCGCCGCAAATGACACATTTCAATAGCACGAGTAGCGCACCCGGTGCGATGAGACTAGTACGGAAGTCTACCGCGTCAATGAAAGCTAGACAGTACCAAGTTGTGGCTGTAATCGGTACTATGGATACGGAAGCGCAGTATCAAGTAATATATGTTTTTGTGAATTGCCTCATCATTTATTGATAATACACAATGCGCGTCTGTTTCATTTTTTCTATCTTTTTTTTTCAGCAAAGTAAAGTATTACGATCAATGCGTGTTCCTCAAGACAGGTGAGAGTTGCTGGTTCGAGAAGCAGTCGAACCTCGGGTGAAGACTATAGACTACTGCCTCAAACCAATCTTATCCGATATCCTTGAAGTTACGTGACCGTGATGTCCTATGTTCTTCTATCGCTAGCAGACTTATTCCATTGTAGTAGTTGCAGATCGTATTTATTTAACAATATATTCTTGCATCTCTCTCTAATCATTAATAATGGACTAATTCCTTGAATCGTTGTGTCTGCGCAAAGTCTGCAGCACGGCGGACAGTTTCGCGGAGCCGACATTTAAATATCAAAAAAGCTCTTTGCGATGCGCCGCTGTTCTAGCATGCAATTTTTTCCCCCCCAAAAAAAATACGGAGAAAGTCCTTATCTTTAATAAATTTTGCCATATTATGCGCGATAATGTGATAATCCATGGAGTTATCATAATCGCGACGGCGAAAGGTTTGAGAGGAAAGATAAGTGCTAAATCAATCGTCATTTCTTGTCCAAAATGTTCTGCTCAATTTTCGTCGCACCGAACAGGCTGTGCTAATCTTTAGTCGACCAATCGGTTGCACCATCGAAAAAATCGTGGCAGAGCTTGAAAAAAAACGAGATTTTCGTAGCTGTGATGCTGTTATCAATACGACGCTGATCATTCATAGACATCTAACGAGAGACACTCTTGAAAACGCTCCAGAATCAATGCGGTGTTCCCAGCACTTGTCTCGTTCTATATTCTACAATTTGTAACAAAGATTTCCATCAAAGTGTTGTCGACTTTTATAGTCAATAGAAAAAGTGCCGAGAGCCGTATGGTATATATACTACCTTGCGACAAGTTTTATATAATACAATACGAAAGATATTCTTTGACGCATTTTGATTGCTAAAAACGCTTCTATGAAAGAATCTGGAGTGTCTGCAAAAGTGTGTGACTAAGTCGCATTTCCATATATATTCTATATTATATACTAACATACACACACATCACACAAATGCACACTCTTCGTTATATCGTATTTCACCACTTTGCCCACACACACATAAAGTACAACTACTTTCATATTAATTATAAATATTCTATTTAATTATCCAATCGAACTTTAGGCTACTTGTCTTAGCTCGTAAGTCCAAACGCAACGCTGTGAATGAGAGGATAGATGAACAAAAAGTCCATTTACTTGTTATTTATATTATACACTTTACGATTTATGTGACTTAGTGAATTATTATCATTATATTACTCTTATCATATTTCATAAATTATACTGATATATATATCTAAGGTCTATTTATTATAGTTAAAAAAATATATTTGCGACCATTTAATGAGAACGCGATGCTCACGTCGCGTCATTGTTTTATAGCTTCGATATTTATGGTGCACCAGTCAAAATGTAAATTTGTCTTTCAGCCCAGTAGGACCACATTGCAATAACATTATTGACTGACTGTAAGATCTGTCAAAAATGATAAATTATTATTATAATACTGGATTTCACCATATATCGATTTAAGAATCTGTTCATTATTTGGAGTGTTCAGGGAAACCAAACTGTGGAATTGTTATGCAAGACTAAAACCTTCGCATTAGCCACACATCAAATTAAAATATATGCTTTGTTAGAATTCCCAACATATGTGATTTCTCTTATTAACCTATTACAGGTTTACAGAAATTAAAGTTAAAATATATATGCTATTTAATAAAACAAATAATCAGGACAGGAGATAAATTTAGTTAAATTCCTATCGAAAGGAAAATTATGATTTTTATTTCTTATTATTAGTCATCACAACAAATTATTTTGTATTCCTCAAGTGTTCATAAAATAAAAATTACTAAAGTTATCTACAGTATATGAACCTCGCACAACTCCACTGAGAAACATAATACTCATTTTTATTTCACTATAAATTCTATCATAGAAAGAAAATTATTTACAAAGACATGTATACATAAATATATATATATGTCTATTAAGATCTAAGCATTCTCACAAGTTCCTTGTAGATCTTGATAGCAAATATCTTGGTAACAAATATTTATTTTCCTGTATCTTCATTATATATTGAATCCCATTGACCTCATACAAGTTTTATGCGCTTCTATAAGATCTCCGCAATTTTCCTCGCCTTTTTCTATGATACTGAAAGCATATTAAACATAACTTTAGGATAAAAATTTTATAAATAGAATACTTTATAAAAAATTATTTCTAAATTAATTTTTTTATTTAACATTTCTTATTTAAAAATAAGAGAATAATTGCTGGCAATACATTATAGCATGAATAATGCACAAATAACGATGAAATAAAAATATAAGATCACATGTCTAACCTATAATTAATCACATATACTTAATTTCTGAATTATATTACACACCATGTGTCTCTCGCTTTCTTGGTTTCAGGACAGGCGCAGCAAGGTTTTAATTTCTTTTTCTCTTCCGGCTTCGCTTCCACTTTTGCTGCAGCGTTACCCATTTTTATTATTATGCAAAGAAAACAACGTGAATGAGGGAAAAGAGCAGCAACATTCTAGGTTGTGTTCGACAATATATTCCTTGGGTGAAGCACTCGATTGACCAATCAGAACAAAGAGATCCTCGGTTTCCCATTGGTCAGAGTGAATTTGACCGACCAATCGGAGTATAGGTGAGTATATTTCCGAACACAATCTGTAGATATAATGCTGCCCTCTGGTGAACTTTCGCGTAGTTTGTGGTTAAAGTTCGCGCGTTCATCACCGGTCCGGTTCGTGAAATACGAGTGTGAATATTAATTAGTGCCGTTAATTATCGTATTTAAATGCGATCGCGATTGTGCGCGCGAGACTGATCTCATCGACCGTGAATCTTGAGTATTCTCCTCTCTTTCTCTCTTTTTCTCTCTTTTGCCTCTCGCCAGGATTCTCGGAACTTGAAATTAAGTACGTCTGAAGTTTTTACGACAATTCTCGGACGCAGAGGTTGGTCTCCTACAGAAAAAATGAATGGTACTGGCGAGAAATGCGGAGTACACCGAGATTGAAGAAGAATTGTCGAAATGTGAGTCGAAGTATTTACTTCATTATATTTATTTTGATAAAGCGATAGAAAAATATTACATCTTTAAGTATTGACCGGATTTCGTGTTAGAATAAACTCGATATATCAAATTGCAGTTGCATTTTCAGGCTTTGAGAAACATTTCTTGAATTTCTATAAAGGTCTCGTTCCCTCTTGTGCTTCGCTCATATCTCGTTTCTCGTCAAATCACTTATTGACTTATAATAAGATTCCCGAAACTTAATGCGACATCTCTTAGTCGAGTAAGCCTTTAAGCGAAGATAGATCGAGATCGATCTTAAAGCGACATATTAAAAATGCCCAGCTCCTGACTTTAAGTATTTCAAATCCGCTTGCAGTCTTTTTTCGAATCGTTTATAGTGATTTTTGATTCGTCTGTAGCTGCACAGTTAAAAAATTGCAATTGTTTAAACATATAATCAATTGTCAATTTTGAAATTTGTTTCAAAACTTTTTCCAGATGATTAAAACTCGTTTGTAGTTTGTAGCAATCGCAATCGAAATTTATATTCATGGAAAAGCAGATTAAAAAAAATCTTTAAAATTGTCAAAAATCATTTTTGACAATTTTTTTAACACTTGCATTTTCTATACTGTGCAATTACAAACGGAACGAAAATCACTAAAATCAACTTCAAACGATTCTAAGAAAGACTGCGCAATCGAATTTGAGATATGTTAAAATCGTGTGTTGGTCATATATATCATAATTTTTACTTTTACATTAACTACAATCGAAATACTATATTTTCCGAAAATTAATTTTTTGAAAGCTGTGTGCCAGATTCAGGAAACTTAATGCGCGACATTTCTTATAAAAAAGTGTCCAGACCCCGACTTTAAGATATATCAAATCCACTTGCGCATTTTTTTTGGAATCATTTGTAATTGTATTTAGCAATTGCAATCGATATTAATGTTGATAGAAAATCATATTTGAAAAATTTTTAAATCAAGAAAAATATCACTTTGACAATTTATTTAAACAATTGCGACCTCTAATCCGTACAAATTGGAAATTCGGTGAATTTAAGTTATGTAGTTAATAGAAATTTGGAAAATAAAAATTATATATATAGTAGAAATTCGATTAAATTTATGTAGATAATACAAATTTAAAAATTTAAATTATCTATATACATATATATTTATCAATATAGAAAAAATTAACTGGATAGAGTTCTGCTGATCGAATATAAAACCTTGAGGGCAGATGCCGAGGCGAAGTATGATTATGTAGCAGGTGTATATAATGCCAAGCGTGCGTACGACAGGTGAACAGGTAGAGATGGTTTTAATTTTCGTCTCATAACTGCCACCGAACTTTTGGAAAGTTCTAACTCGAAACCTAATAAACAGAACAACAAATTATTTATATGCCGCACATTGCGGAAATTAATTATAATGCAGTATAATTTCGACATATTAAACCATCTTATACGCCAATTGTTACAATTTTGTTACCGCAAGTAAACATTGCTAATCGAAATCTTATCCCAGCATTTATTAAGAGCGTTTATTTAATATGTCAAAATTATATATTAGATTATATGGCTTAATTTCTGCAAAATGTACAGCACGTAAATGATTATAATTGTTCTGTTTAGATTTTGAGCTAAGACTTCCGAAAAATTCCAAACAGTTCCGAGGCGGGAATAATTCTAGCGTAAAAAAAATCGATTAATATCGATCTATCGATGCGATGCGATAGCCGCGAGATTTCGTCTTGGTATGCGCGGACGAAAGCTCGTCTCGCAACGATTTATTTCGGGCACCGATGCGCGTAAATATACGCGCGCGGAATACGCGATCGAGATCGTGCGTGTCCTGGTGTCAATGATTCGTTCGCATGCACGTGCAATCGATAGGAATGAATTGCTTCTTATGCTCTTCGCGCGGTGCTTCACCAATTTTTCTCAGGGCTGCGCAATTTGCGTCGTGGATTCCTCTTTCTCGTCGATACGAATCGGTAACCGAGTGGGAGAGATGAATAATTTCGCCGGATGCATACAAACGTATATACGACTTCTATATACGATCGGCGTATCGTCGTACATCTTCTCGCAGCATTTCTTCATGATAAGAATACCGTTTGCGATTTCCTCAGCGTGCCCAGTTGATGGGAAAAATCAATCGAGCGATTTGTCCATTTTGCTCTAAGAGACGATGCTCCTTTATGTCGATGAGGCTGTAAATCAAATCGTTATATCGACGTCATAAAGTTAATCTGGCATGCCATGAAACAAATCTTGATTCTTCGCAGTCGACGAATCTTCTGACCAAACTAGTTTCGCAGATGTCAATTAGCTCCTGTCGGCGAGAATTATATACGAATGACGATGGACGTGTCAATAATGTGTATCGTAAAATTAAATTAAACTGCATTTCGATAAAACTTTGCGTCAAGACAAGAAATAAATATATTAAAAATCACACATTATTTATTTTAGATTGTAAAATATTTATTTTTTATTTTTGAACATAATTATCATAGTATAATCTAATAGATTTCTTAATTGAGTCTTATTGAAAGACGTCTTCAAAAGTCTTTTAATAATTATCGTGAGCTTTTAAATGATTTAGAACAGCATATACGCATAAACACAATGAAATTTTGCAAAATTTGGGTTGCTGAATTTTTTGTCGAGTTTTATTTACGCGAGACATTATATTCTCGACTATCGATCGATATTCTCGTTTAAAAGAATAAGGATCGGCAACCCGTCTCACTCGTAAAGTATAGTGTTTCAATGTCAGAGTTACAGGAAGCAACTCGATACAGTTGGCTTCTGATGAACACGTGCGCACGCTTAAGCGGAATAATATATCGCCGCCGAGAGTGGATGGGATTCACACGATTAAACACTGAATCAACAGCACCTTCAGTGATATTGATATGAATCGACTATTGATTCATATAAATCGTAATACATTATATAAATAAATGTGCAATACATTTCCAATACATTTCCAATCAGAAATTTATTTCACGCGATACTTCAATAACTCTCACACACAATAATCTATTTTAATTCAGAAAGATATTAAATAATGTATTAACTGTATAAGCAGTGTTTGCTATTATCTAAATAAAATTATATAAATGATCATCTAGATAAAATTTTGGTATCATCTTTTATTTATATAGATATTAATAAAAATGTGTTACCTATATCTGCATCTTAGATGAAAAAAATGTTACCTTATGAAATTATCCAGAATAATGTTCAGATAATTTGGTTTACAGTCATAACACATAAAAATATTTAAATAATAGAACTTAAGCAGTATAAGTGATAAAAACTTACAAATAAAAGTATGAATATATTTTTATATCCTTTTTATAATTTATATTTTTTTATAACTGTGTTTACATAAGCGGTCTTAAAATATATGTATTTAAATGCAAAATCATCTTCATCTTATCTAAGATGAATTTATATATTTTACCTTTATTTAGCTAATTTTAAAATTATCTAAGCACTGTGTATAAATATAAAAAAGTAAAATTCACATCTAAAAGTTGTCGAAGTTGAAAAGGAGCGAAGTTTCGCAAGCGCTGCTTCATCGAAAAAGGGCCGAGGGTCGCCGCGAGAATATCGTTGGGGAACAGAAGGGCGCGTGCCAAGGGTTTGCATCTGCTGCAGTCTGCTTTACAGCCCCTCGTTTCTTTTCAAGAAAGAGAGAAGGTCACCGCCATCAGCACCGCCGTACACTGCCATCGACGTGTGCATAAGTCTCCGGTTACAAAAAAGAAAAAAAGGGAGGGACGCTTCCGCAGGAAACGCCTCGACGAGATCCCTCTTCTTTCGTCCCTTATTATTGAGCGTTCTCGTAAAACGCGCGAACGAGCCAGCATTCGATGCTGGAATAATCATATATGCGTAATAATCGTATATCGCGCAATTATTGCGCTCCAGCGATCCGAGTAAACACGTTCGCGAAATCGTGAAGAGGAAATTTTTGCATATTGCGACCGCTGTGATTTTTCGCAATGCGATATATATATCGCAAGAAATTTATTCTCGCATGTCGCAAAATGTTATAAACAGTTCGGAGCCGAATACAAAAAACGCAAATTGATCCACGACAAACGTTGCAAAAACAAATATATAATAAATAAAATATCAGTTAAAAGGAGAAAGAATAAGTGCATTTAAGTAAAATAACTCGAATAAAGCAAAATCATAATTGACACTTTTTGGCTTCACTATTTTGAAAAAAAAACCCACGAAACTAAATTAAATTAGAAATTGCTCTTAAACATTGTTTGTTCCTGTTACTTTCAGCAACGAAAAGGAAAAATTTTATTTTGTTGCGTAGATGCGTGTGGATTCAATTTCCTTTCATTTTCTACGTCGAAACGGAAAGATACGTGAAAGAGAAAAATTGTATATGTGTGCGGCTTAATGCGGCTGCCGGCTACGAATACACACAAGTCGGTAACACGTCCCTATATCGGAGGGCCCTGAAGGAAGGGGACCCGAAGCCAGGTAAGCAGCTGCGAGCATCTGCAGGGGCAGAGCAGCAGCCGCGTGTTTAAATTAGTCCCGGCACAACTGTCGTGCGCGCAACATGTATGAAGGAAGATCGTTTTCGAGGCCTGTGTATTAGAAATCGAATTGACGAAAAATCGTGAAAAAAGGTGGTGGTGATTAACACATTTCGAGTTATCTTCATTCTTCTTTTGCACGCGTAGATATACAGTTCGAGATATTAATCAAAATTAACTTTCCGATCAAACAAAACAAATTTTTATTCCTGAAAAAATAATTTTTTCTGAAGCTTGCGAACACACGATGCTTGTAAATAATTATTTCACAGAGATTACAATTGAATTCGAGTATAACAATTAAATGATGATAGTGATAAATTGAATATTTCGATTGTGTGTATTTGATTTGATAGAACAAAGAAAGAAAAAAAGAGAAAGATAAATTAATGATCTTAATATTGAAAAAGTGAAATAAACGGCAAAATTTGTTTAAATGATCGTATGAAGAATCAGGAAGCGGAAGATGTTGCTACTCAGGGTGATCGTAATATCGATCATATGTTGGATCGTAAAGTGCGATCTGCTGGATCTTTATGTTCAGCACATGGATGAGACTATGAGGACAAAATTGTACAGTAATAAGCGACATTCTATACATCCCGTTTCCAGAAGGATAAAAAGGAGCTCCGAGGATGAAGAATCGCAGTTGGAAATTTACAAGAAGATACGATTGGAGGAGCCAGAGTGGTGGAAGCAATGGATAGCCTGGAAGGAAATTTCTTATCCAAAGGACGTTTTGGACTATTTGAATGAACAAGAGAAGAGAATCTCTTTTATAAAAGACGCTTTGGACCATTTGAATAAACAAGAGAAGAATCTTAATCCTGATCAACACCAAATGCTCTCGAATACGATGCAAGATTCTAAAGATCCTGAGGAAACGATGAAATCGACAGCATCTAGCATCGTTAAAGACTTGAGGAACAACGAACCTCCGATCGTTCGTGAGAATCAAACTGATGTCGGAAAATTCGTCGTCGAACCTCTAGAATTTGCAGGAGATATTTCAGCGGAAAACTTGGAGGATCCCGAAGAAATGGAGAACAACAAGGAGAGTTTGGACTTTGAAATCATCAGCGAGAACGAGCGAATTAATCTGAAGCCATTCGATGATCCAAGTTTCAAAAGGATACCGAAACTGTTGGAAAACCCAATACCAAAGAAGTATTTTCCTCTCACGGAAAAGTCAATGAAGAATCACAACATCGAGGACAAGAAGATGAGATTCGCAAGAAGCGCGAAGGAAGGTGGAAATAATCGAGGAGTATTTAATGCCAAAGCGCCAAAGTTCACCAGGTACGAGAAGCTGGACGAGGACGGTGACGTGATCCTCGAGTGGGATCCTTCGGACAACGAGGAAGTGACGTTTAGGGTCACTGCTAAGACCCTGGGCTATGTCGGCATCGGCTTCAACGAGAAGAGCCATATGATGGGCGCAGACATCTTACTCGCTTGGGTGGACGATCACACTGGCGTTGTCAATCTGCTGGTAAGTTTCCTGCTGGACTTTATTCCGATGTCACAATGATAAGATTGATCGATAGGAAAGAAAAGATAGGGCCTCGCGGTCCTCGCCGTACAAAAAGGTATCGGAGCTGCATAACTTTAACCTGCTGACTAAGCTAGAGTCACACATGTCTATATTGTCGAATTCTTGCTACAATTTCTTATATGTAGTTGTAATGATATTACATTATTAACGCATACACTGGAATACATTATTTATTATCGATTTTTTGTTCAAATAATTATTTCCTGAAATAATAGTTATTTTAATTGAAAAATTTATTCAAAAGTAAATTAATATATAAATATTTTCATAAATAATTTTTTTCTCGTGATTATTGATCCTTTATAATTATTATATCAATTTTTCTGAAACTATTTTTTGTTCAAATAATTAATTTCCTGAAACATTAGTTACTTTTATTAAAATATGTAAATATATTTTCATAAATAATTTTTCCCCATGATGCTTTATATACGCGAAAAATTATTTTCATGCGATTGCGAAATGAAATTAACGCGGTCGTCGCGCAAAAAGTGACTTGTGTATAGGTATGAGAATGCGAACAAGGATTAATGAAACGATCGCGATCTAACTAGATGAACTAATGGATCGCTGTCTCGTCATTCAATCGTGTGGGAAGTACTCGTTTTCTTCTTATCGTCTATCGATTGCGCAACACATCTTGATCTCGACACTTTTCTTCGATTATCTTTGTGAGTCACATAACGATTAAATGAAAGTACAGTTCGTCAGAATTATTATAGAAAATAGACGCGAGAGGAGAGATACAAATTATAAAATTCTTTCAAAGAAGTTTTTCGAGAGGTCTACAGGATAATTAACCGTAATTAATTGGAATAAAATATCTTTAATCTAAAATAAATATAAAATAATATAAAATACGATAAAACTTCTATTTTTGTAAATACGCGTGTATATAAAGTAGAACTTGTAATATATGTCAATCGTATATGGCAACACATAATCTTGATTGCTCTTGACGACGACACGTCAATATCGGAGATGTTCGAGAGGAAAAAGCAAGGAGGAAGAAACAAACTCCTCGGCTTGATTTCACGCCGAAACAGCTCCCCACGAGACAGTTCGAAACCTGTCGGCGCATATCTCTCTCCGGCGAAAAGAGCCGGCGAAAGGCTACGAAGCAGGGAGATAGGTATACAAAAAGGGGGCGACAACAAAGAGAGAGCGAGGTGGAGAGATGAAGGAAGAAGAAGAAGAAGAAGAAGAATGGAAGAAGCACGAAGAAAACGAAAGGAAGGGAAAAAGGAATTAAAGAAACGAGAAAGCCGGGGAATTAAAGGAAGATTAAGAAGGCGGCCGGAGCAGAAAGGGAGGTCGAGCTTGAAGGACCTGCGCGAGGTTCCGATATATGGGGGGAGAAACATCAAAAGGAGTATCAGGACTAGCTCCGAGCCGCATCTCTCTCCGTTTCGAGCGACGAAATAGCTTTCGAAGCCTGCTCACGCAATACCGAATCGTATTAATGAGAAACGTTAATTAACGCGACGTCACGACGTCCGATGAAGCTGTCTTCGTCTTCGTCATATCGATGTATCGCGGGTAGGCTTTGAAAAATGCGTAGGACGGTAAACCCGCTAAAGAGAAATTATACGCCCGTCAGTAATAATATAATTTTGATGTGGGCAAAAATAATGGCTCGCATAATTATAATTTATTATAGTGTAGAGCGATAATCATCGCGTGACAATTAAAATTTCGGAAAAAAAGTGGCACGAGACGTTTTAATTGGTGACCAGGTACCAGAGAACCCGGCGGAGAGACGAGGACTAAACGATGAAGGTCCGCAGAACCTGCTTCGGCCCGGACCCTATCCTCTTCTCCGAAATCCTAATCTTAATTAAATTTATATTCATTACGCTTGACGACGCTCGGCCTCAAGGAATTCCTTCCTTTTCCCTCCTCCGTTTAACACGCGGAGGCTAAAAACGCGGAATTTGCTCGGCAATTTCTTGTATTACTATTATTCGACTTCGTAACAGCATCCTTTTCTTCTGCGTTTTTCTTCCATCCTAAGACGAATTGATTCTATTTTTACCGCATCGGGGACTCTTACATTTATTGTCCAGATTGTAAACCCTCTTTTCGCAAAAATTCTTCTTTTCTTCAGAGCAAATTCGCGCCTCGTCTTCTCGCCAGGAAAAAGATCAAAACGCGGTTTCACGAGAGTCACGCGATGTATACCCGGACGAGTCTTTTTTAGAGTCATCCGAAATAAAAATTCGAACGAACGAACGGCGGTTTTCCATCGACTTCGAATTTTCGTGAGTCGATTTTATACCTGATCTCGACCCAACTCGGGCAAGAGGGTTGGAAGAAAAGAGGGTGAGACGAAAGAAAGGGACGAGGGATGGCGAAGGAAAGGCACGAATCGGCGAGGAAGGAGAGAGGCGCGGATCCAAGAAAGGGTCGGGATAAAATTAACGAACGCGGTTCCACAACGGACGAGATAACGTCGTGATAAATTTACGTCCGACCTCTCGCCGCGCGTTTCTTCGACGCGTATACGCGATCGATCTACCCTCGCGTGCCCTTCTTACCTTGATGAATTGTAAATCTTCCGACGAGACGGACCTTATATGTGCCTCATCAACGTAAAGATAATTCGTCATTGTAAATTATAATTACGTAATTTGCGTAAATTAATAGAAACGTCTTCAGGTAATTATATCGTGCTCTTTCTCGCAAGCAGTGTTTCTTGTTATCTAATAAAACTATCTAAATAAAATTATATCATCTAGATAACATTTTGGCGTCATCTTATTTTTATATTTATGGATAATAAAAATATGTATTATCTATGTCTCCATCTTAGATAATAAAAAGTGTTATCTTTATTAAATTATGTAGAATAATGTTCAGATAATTTGTGATTTAGAGTCAATAGTCACGTAAAAATACTTAAGTATTTTTATTAAGTAGTAGAATTCAAGCAGTAAGCGATAGAAATTTATCAATGAAAATATATTTTTATATTCCTTTTATAATTTACATTTTTTTATAACTGCAATGTATTTACATAAGCGGTCTTAAAAATAATTTAAGTTATCTAGATGAATCGCTGTATAATTTTGTCTTTTATCTGGATATATTTGAAACAAAATTATCTTCATCTTAGTTAAGATAAATTTACATATATTTTTATCTCATCTTCATCTAGTTAATTTTTAAATCATCTAAGCACAACACTGCTCGCAAATTTATAAAAAATTTGACAATTGACAAAGAATATAAATCTACCTCTTATATTTGTAGAAATATATTTTCAATAAAATATATATTAAATCAATGCGACCTATATATATATATTTTTTAAATATTACGCAATCTATAAATTTTTTATTTAATATATAATACTATAATTTAAAAGCTACAGCGCTGCGCAATGATCGATGCAAATCAACTTTCTTTCTTACTAGAAACAAGAAGGCGTTTTTAATCGCGAGCATCATAATCGGCGCGCAGAGGCCTCCCGTTGAGACGACAATTTGTTATCGTTGACGGTAACCCGACGTGTTCATATATGTATACACATAGGTATATAACATGCGCATGATGTTTCATAAAGAAATTCGCGTTTGACAAATATCATACCTGTTGCACCGATGCACACGTGATGCATATACATAAACTCGGATTCAGCCGGCCCGGAGGCTGAAGGCGCCGGCGGCGAAGGATATACACACTCGATGTGGATATAAGGGTTGCGTATGTGAATTTTGCGTGGCCGTGTGCGAAGATCGGGGACGAAAGGGCAAAGAGAGGGCCCAGTCAAGGCCTCCAGACATCGTCGACGGGGGGGCCGTGCGCGAATCTTCGAGCATCTTCGCTGCGGAGAAGAACGAAAAGATAGACTCGGGTCCAGTGAAACGATGGGGCTATATGTGTGCATATGTGTATACATATACATATATAATCGAAATACGCGATACCTCGGACCCTGAAAGCTCCGAAAGAATCGGCCGACATAGCGGGACCTCTTAATAGGTTCCGCGGATTAAAAGGTGAATGCAAGTAAAGTATGCGCTTGAATTAGGGAGTGAGTTGAAGGGAATTAAATTAGAAAATCAAAATCAAAAAGTGGATCGTTAAATCTGCGATTTAATTATGTCTCGATCGAGCAGGATGCCTAATCCAAGAGGACATCTGAACATCCTTTCAGGGTGTCTAGCGGTCAGGGAAATCTGGAAAACCGGGCATTGTCAGGGAGTTTTAGAAATTGTCAGGGTAAAGTCAGGAAATTTTACTATTTATCTGGATTTTCTCACATTATTCTACATTTGTCTCAATAATTTGACATTTTTCATTAAATAAATATAAACTTTTCCTTGACTCTCAGCACGCGAATTTTCTGTGTTGTTAAAAATCGATTTAACATTTAATTGATTTATCATACAGATATATGCAAATTATATATTTGGAAAAAATAATACTAAAAGGTCAGGGAATTTTTTTCCTTGAGTCTGCTGGACACCCTTCGGATGTCCTCTGATCGGAAGGAATTCGCGAAGTAAAATCGGATAATTAATGAATCGCTATTGATTCGCCGGTGAATGGATCTCGTCGGCAGCCAGCTGGTTACAATCCGCAGAGTCGTCCAGAGTCGTCCAGCGTGACCGACAATGCGTGCGTATGTACACGACGATTACGATCGTAATTTATTACCGCGCCGGGAAATACAGAGTCGCTGCACGAGCGAATCTGAAATGCACGTAATCTGCGATCCGTCCATCCCCGTCTCTGGTCCCGGCGGGTCTCTTCAGGGTCCGTTCAGGACGTCCACGGACAGACGGACGGACAGTCGAGCGCAACGGTGCATGGACGGAGCCTCCTTCTTCCTCCATTCGTCTCTTCTTCCTCTGCCACCACCTTCTCCTACCAGATTTCGCTGCGATTTTTTTCTCATTATCCCGGACGAGAGCCCTCTTCTTCGTTTTCTA